GCCTCTGTACAGCAAAAGAGATAGTAACCAAAACAAAGATCACCCCTCCCATTGGGAGAAAATTTTTGCACACAACACTAATGATAAAGGACTGATCACAAAAATCTAAAAGAGCTGATGAGATTCAACAAAAGCAAAGTAAATAACCCCATCAAAAATTGGGCAGAAGAGCTAAAAAGAAACTTTTGCAAAGAGGAAATGCAAATGGCCAACAGGCATATGAAATGATGTGAGGTGATTTGTGGGTTTTTAGGTCCCATCTAAAGAATATTGGTCAGAACAGGGTCCAAGATTTACCTTCACTTATTTTTGAAACTTATCATTTTGGTGTTTATTTTTAATACTAATCCATTAGTTAAGTTTTACCTTTGTAAAAGTAGTGGTGAAGTATAGTGGTCATGCTTCTGAATGGATAACCATTGTTTGGATAATATTTGATGAGTATATATTTGCTGTGTCTTTTTTCCTTTTGTATCTTAAAAAATATTTTCTTATATAATTGTTTAAAATCAACAGTAATAATTTTGCAAAATGAAGATATGGAATTTTTATATGGTAAACTTAGGGGATAGAATTTTCCCCAAAATTTGTGTTAAACTTTAAAAAATCTAAGACATTAAAAGCATATATGTGTATATGTAATGGATGAAATCATCTAAGTGGCAACACCTCAGATTCAGTATGTATATCCCAATAACGATTTCTAGACAGAAAAGCAGATTTCACAAGAAGAGCTACCATTATGCAATAACAGCTAATGCCAGCCTATATAGTGTTCTCAATTTTCCTAGACTATCCTAGAATAGCTTTTCTTTTCTTTGCAATACAGCATCCAGTCAAGTGTAAAATTTGGTTGTCTTGTCCTTTTAGTCTCCTGTGATCAGTTCCCTTTGCTCTGTTTGGTTTTTCAATTCACTCAACTTTGTGAAAAGTCCAACTGTGGTCATAAAAATATTCCTCAGAGTTATGTTGTGCAAAGTTTGTCACAGACTTAGATTACCATTATGACTTTGCCCAGAGAAGTACATAAGTGCTCTGAAGGTCCCACTGAAAACCAGTGAGGCAGCTGAGGGCACATGAAGTCACTTATTCCATTATTTATGTTCCCCACATAATAACGTGGTACATGCCAGTTCTCTGCTTGGCAGAGGTTGTGGATTTTACGTTCATTAATCAAAATATATGTTGTGGTACTTTAGGAATATGTGAGTATCGTGCTGCCTAACCGTTCCTCCACCACTAGAATCCCTTGATCACACTCGATTACATTAGTGATCCTAAGATAATTGTTCAAAATGACTGTATTTCTAATTTTGCCATTCTTTCTGTGTTTGTGGCTGGGATCAATCTGTGATGAAATCTACCCCTATTTTTGAATTAATACAAACAACATGCTGGGGCAGTGATAAAAATGCTAAGAGTTGTTACTGTACTTGCTTTATCATCACGTAAGTTATGTTTAATTTGATTGGCTATGTTTACAAAAGGTCTATGAATGGATATCTCCAGACATTTCAAGCTTGGATAGAGATTTCCATTTGCAAGCATAATCCATATATGAGCTGAGTGAACACTGAAATGATAAAATCAAGGTACAGACGAGGAAATCACCCCAGAACTAAATGTGATGAGCAGGATGGCTTCAGAGGCCTGGCACTGAGGGTCCAGGTACTCACTACTTCAGGTGCCATTTAAGCAGCATTGCAGCCTCGGGTCTTATCCTGGTTCTTGTTATTACTTATTCTGTCTGACTTAGGATGTCCTTCCCTTCATAGTATTAGGTTTCTTCATATTTGCATGCTAAGATTGGAATAAATGATTTGTAGCTTTTCATGCAGCTCCATGACTTCATAAGGCAGTTTAAATCATTTTTTCCAGGGCACCACCATATTGACGTCGCTGACTACTGTGCTGCATGATAGCAAAGAACACCCAACCCAGAGGTGTTTGACCCTCACCACTCCCTGGTCGAAAGTGGCAACTTTAAGAAGAGTGACTACTTCATGGCTTTTTCAGCAGGTAGTGTATCTTTTGTATTCTTTGTGCATCAGAGGACAAAATACCTTGTGAGGATTGTTAGGAGCTTCCATAGTACCCTCTCCAAGGCTGGTGCAGGTGCTCTTGTCCGTTAGCAGGAGCACCGAACCCTGTGTCCATGCACTTTCCCTCCTCATGATGCAGTCTTCTCGTTGAGCCAGATCACTGCAGCTTTGGGGAATTGATCCAGTTCTTCAAATTCAGAAATGATTTAGTACAAAGTCCTGAAAAATGTGAGAGGCATGCATCTTGCCAAAGGAACAGCACTGTAAGGGAAAACCTGAAACTTCACGGTGCATTGGAGAGTGGTAGAGAGCAGATCTACTTGGAGTACAGAACCGAGACTGTGAAGAATATTCTGTGAAGAATAGAAATATCATGAGCCATCAGATCTATGCAACAGAAAGCACAACCAGAGTATGTGTTTTTAGAAAATTGTTGAAGGAAAATTGAGGTCAAAGAAATGGTTATACTGTGGGAATACTTAATGAAGTATTGGCCACAATGCTGATAATAAGTACACATTTGTTGAAAGGAGGATACCTGTTCATTAACATTAGATGGATTCCATTCCTGTCTGCCCATTGTCCATCTGTCTATCCAACCATCCTGCCTTCCATCATACCTCAGCTTTCATCAAATAGTTATTGCATATTCTCTTTCTGACGTCAGAAACCCAGTGTTCAAGGATCATCTCCTCTGTGTGCTCGTTATTTTCAGGAAAACGGGCATGTGCAGGAGAGGGCCTGGCCCGCATGGAGCTGTTTTTATTCCTGACCACCATCTTCCAGAAGTTTACCTTGAAATCTGCCATTGACTCCAAGGACATTGACACCACAGCAGTTGTCAGTGGATTTGTTTCTGTGCCTCCTCCTTACCAGATCTGCTTCATTCCTTTGTGAGGAAGGACAGACCATCAGGCTTCTGCTGTGATGTCCACAAGTCCCATTCACCTGACGCCCCTGTCATCTCCTTTTCTCTTCCTTCCCCTTCTGGTAATGTCGTCACCGACCTCTCCTCTCCTTGTCACCCCATTCTGTCAGGATCCAGGCACGAACATCCCATCTCCAAAGTAGGATTTCCAAAGTTCCACGGTACAAATATATATATAGCTTCTCCTTGCTCTGTAACATTGTATTGGGCATCTCATATGCTAACACTTATCTGGTATTGAGTAGTTAGTTCTGTGTCATCAGTGTGACAGAGTGAGATGGTTGGTGAATGTAATACGACATTTCTCCTCTGCATGTTCTAAAAAAATCACAATCTGATGAACCAGTTCTCATGCTTTCATTCCTTTGTGTATAATGCAGAGAGCAAATGGAAGAAAATATTATCCGTAAGAGCTATTCCTTTTAATTGATAGACTATGTTTTTAGAGCAGTTTTAGGTTCACAACAAAATGGAGCAAGAAGTACACAAAGCTCCAACACATTCCTTTTCACACCCAGGCACAGCCTGTCCCGTCATCATCCCACAATGGAGAGGCACATTTGATACAAGCGGTCAGTCATCATCAATACATCACTATCAAAAAAGTTTACCGGGTCTTCCTGGTGGTGCAAGAGGTTAATACGCAGCACCGCGAAGCTATCCACAGCCACTGCAGCACCAATCCAATCCCTGCCCAGGGAAGTGACCCACATAGCACAGCAGACCTCTCCTGTCTCGCCCGCTGCTCCCCTCAGCAGGGTCTTTCAGTCAGTCTGCCTGTTCTGTTCCCCACTCTGTCTCTGGTGAAGCCTCTCATCCCTCACATCTCTGGCCTGCACCCAGCTCTTGTATGTATAAAATAAATAAATCTTTAAAAACAAAAAAACAGAGTTTACGTAAGTTCATTCTTTGTGTTCTATACTCTATGGGTTTTGCGACATGTATATTGGTGTGTATCCACCATTACAGTATTATCAGAAAAGTTTCTCGGTGTTCCGCCTATTCATTCTTTCCCTCCAATGCTTGGAAACCACCAATCTTTTTATTATTGCCATACTTTTGTCTCTTCCAGAATCTCATATAGTGGTCTCAATGTGTAGTCTTTTCTTGGTGATGTTTTTCACTTAGTTGGTATGCCCTAAAGATTGCTCCGTGTCTTTTCATGACTTGATTGCTCAGTTCTTTTAGGTGTTGAAAATATTTCGTTGCATAGAATTACCACAGTTTATTTATGTGTGTGCAAATGTTTAAACCCTAAATGGACTGTGGATAAATAATATCTTGGCTACTTCTAATTTTTGTTCATTGTAGATAAAGCTGCAATAAAAATCTATGTGCTGGTTTCTGTTTTTTTTTAAAGATTTATTCATTCATGCATATAAGAACTGGGGTACAGGTCAGAAGAGTGGGGGTGAGAGGATTCACAAGAGACAGAGTAGAGAACAGAACAGGCAGACTGACTGAAAGACACTGCTGAGGGGAGCAGTGGGCAGGACAGGAGAGATCTGCTGCACCATGTGATTAGTTCCCTGGCCGGGGATTGAACTCATGCAGCAGTGACTGGTGATGACTCATAGTGCTGTGACTTAACCCCTTGTGCCACCAGGGAAGCCTGCAATTTTATTTTAATAAGATTTGGGAAAAAAACAGAAATTATACATGCCAAATAGTCAAGAAGTCATTCCACTGGAGAGCTAGATAAAAGAAAGTAATACATGGATTTCATATTTAAAAAATTTTAAAGTTATGAGATCATTTCCAATTTCTAATAAAACAAAAGACAATATAGGTGCCTTCCATTTGGTATACACTGCAGGTAGATAGAGCCAGAGTCCTCAAAACTGCATTACAAAAGGATTTTATTAGATATCAGACAGTGAGACTTAATTCGTGCAAGGAAATTTGAACTGAATCTTGACAGATGAGAAGAAACAGTTCAGGAAAATGTTATTCCTGCTGGTAAGCGGTGGGTATTGGCTAACACAGAGACCAGCAACAATTGCTCTGCCACATGGTAGCTTGTCTTTTCTTCACACTGGGATGAAGCAGAGCTCAAAGAAGGGCGGGATGGTGGTTATTCCATTGGCTATTGGCGTGGTATCAATGTCCTTTGGATCAACCAGAGGTTTCAAGGTAAAACGCTGTAAAATGGTGGTCAGAAATAAAAACAGCTGCATTCGGGCCAGGCCTTCTCCAAGACATACTCTCTTTCCTAAAAAGAAACATAAATTAAATGTTTACTTAATTCTCTAAGTTAGCACACAGGGAAACCTAAATAAATATGAAGTGAATAAATAAATATAAATTTTTAGAAAGTCTAATCAAATATGCTTCTATCTACCCCCAAACATGGTTTTCTTCATTTCCTCAGCACAAATTTCTGTGTGCATACTGTGCAAAAAAAATCTTTTCTGTACACCCATGTTGGAATTGCTCTGCTACAGTTTGTCAGTGACATCTTTCTAGACATACACACACAAATTCCACACTCGCCTATCCCAGTTGGTATGAGACATGCACTGTACTTTTCCATCTACTTCAACCCAAGAGTCAACAATAGATTTACTTCTTATTTAGATAATCTTTTTAAAAAATATTTATTTATTTATGCACACGAGAACTGGGGTACAGGCCAGAGGTGCGGGGGCTAAGAGGACCCACCAGAGAGAGTGGGGAACAGGACAGGCAGATTGACTGAAACACATTGCTGAGGGGAGCAGCGAGGTCTGCTGCACCATGTGGGTAACTCCCTGGCTGGGGATTAAACTTGTGCTGCAGTATCTGTGGACAGCTTCATAGGTTGCCTCCTAACCCCTCGCGCCACCAGGGAGGCCCTTATTTAGATAATCTTATCCTTGTCAGGTCCCTGCTTTAAAAAACAATTCAAGAACTTTCCATTGCATAGTATAAAAAATATCATGAACTGGCCACAAATCTTACTAGCTTTTCACTAGCCCCAATAACACCAGTGATATTACCTCAGATTCCAGCTCAGCCTGCTGATAATCCCATCCTTCTAGATCCACCTCAGATGTCTGTTATGTTCATGCAGACTTCTTTGACATGCACAGGGCATACAATTCACTCCCTTATCTGTTTTCTACAACACTCATTAATGACCTTATTGAAAATATAGCACGTTTCACATTTCACATAAAGTCACACGCAGCCTCATTATCATAGTAAAAATCATGCTCACCTGCACCAGGACAGATCTGGTCAAGACCAAACTTGGAATAAAAAGGGGCATGAATGCAGTTTCTAGAAACCCCTGCTCTTTCTCTGAAATGCTGCCACCGTAGACTCTAGCTTCCCTCCTTAGCACTCCTCCAGGCAAGCCCTGCGTCTCCCCAGTTTGGGCTGAAGGCCTTTAGAGCATGAGTTCCTTTCTCCTTCCTTGACCAATGAATAAACCTCATTTCCTCCCATCGACTCTTGTGTCTCCAGTGTTGACTTTTAACCAGTGAGCAAGTAGTCTTGGCTCTGATAACAAGGTCTGCGGTAAGCTCATTGAGCGACCTGGTTTCTCAGGTCAGGTGAAAAAAGGTCTTTATGGAATTACAGTTGTAGGAGGAGCCCTTTGGAACCAAAGTGGTAGGTTATGGGACGGTGAGTGCTGACTCCAATCTGGTGAGAAACAACCTGGACTTTGGGACTGGTGCCTCTGACCCCACACAAAATAACAATTTACCCAGCCCAGAGCAACTTCCGTGCAAAGCCCTTCGTCATCTCACTTGACCCCTGATTACATGTATATAAATAAATGAAGTTTGCTTGCCTGCTGAAAAAGGCATAAAGTAGTCACTCTTCTTAAAATTTTCACTTTCATCCAGGAAATGGCCAGGATCAAATGTCTCTGGTTTGGGAAACTCTTTGCCATCATGTAGCACAGAATTCAGAGATGTTAGTATGCTTGTGCCCTGATATAAAGGAAGCAGATATATTTGATTATTCAGAAGTAAGACTTTAAAAAAAAAAAAGTGAGACTTAAAAAAAATTATTATCTAATCTTTTCATTTTATAGGAGATTGAGGCATTTGCTTCCTGTCACAGAACAAATTAGAGACCAAGTCTAATGGGTATAAAATCATGCATGCCTGTCCATGTAGTGGTGAGAAATATTGGGGTGAAGCCAGAGGCATGGGGTGGAAGGATTCATTGGAGACAGAGGGGAGAACAGAAAAGGCGGATTTATTGAAATATCCTGCAGGGAAGCAGGTCTGCACACAAAGGAGGGTTTGAGGCTCTCTTGTATACTCTGTTTTTTTGCGGGCTTTCTATCTTGGGGCGCCAGCTTGCACCAGTTATTTGCTGGGCTGTCTGGTGTCAGGCACTGGCTTTTGGACTTAAATCTTGTCCTGGCCCTACTTCTGCATTCCTGGAACTAGTCTGATTTTTCTGGTCATTGTGGTCAATCTTATGGCCTTGTCTCCAAGGCAACCTCATTCAGTTCCCCTCTCTATTGAAATCTCCCAAATCTGCCTGCTGGGCCAGGAGTAGGGACTTGGTAACCTTATTAAATGATGCCCTGACAGTCCAGGGTGCTATTCATTGACTCCAAGGCCATTCTCATCAGTTTATAGCCTGACACCATCACTTTTTTTTTTCCTGAAAGATTTATTCATGCATACAAGAGTTGGGGTGTAGGCTGAGGTGCGGGGAGCAGGGAGGTGGAGATGAGGGCGGCGGGCAGGTGAGAGGATTCAGCAGAGAGGGAGTAAGGCGCAGAAACAGGGAGGTTGGCTGAAATACACTGCTGAGGGGTGCAGTGGGCAAGACAGGAGAAGTCTGCTGTGCCACGTGGGTTAGGATCTAACGCCTGCTGCAGTGGCTGGCGACAGCTTCAAAGTGCTGAGACATGACCCCTTGCACCACCAGGGAGGCCCACCATCACTTGCTTTTAAGAAAATTAAGGAAGTTCCTTGAAGTGCATTGTTTTTTTTTTTTGTTTGTTTGTTTGTTTGTTTTGTTTTGTTTTTGTCCATTGAGGCGTTTTATTTCCACATGTGTTTTAAACCCCTAGAAAAAGAATCTCAAGATTTTCCTCCTGTGTGTTTTCGTCTTGCTTCTTCATGGTCCATGATGCCAGCTGAGGTTGTCAATACAATGAAACCAAACTGACGGGATGGAAGCAGATTATTCTGCCATTTTTCTAGATCTTTGAGTTGCACATCAAATCTGGGGCTGATCACTCCACACTTGTTTAACCTGCCTGTGAGGTTCACAACAATTTGCCCAGCTCTGTGATCATCAATGATTTCAAATTCGCCAATGTAAGCATGCTTCATCATCCCAGTTAGAAACCGGACGATAACTTTGGAGCACGGTCTAATAAGAACCTGGCATTTGCCTCTTTTCGGCATCGTTGATGCTCTTGAGAGCATCAGCCAGGAGATTCATGAGCACCATAATGGCGGCACGGAAAGATGGTGCAAAGAAGTGCATTGTTTGTAACCAACTGCGGTCATCAGTTCATTTCCTTTAAAAACAATTATTAAGTCTTTCTGAGTTGCCATATTCTTGAAACTCTTTCACTTTTCCATCAAGATGAAAACTGCTAAGATCCCCTCCTCCTGCTGTGTTTTTTCTTTTCAATTGTTGTCTGTTCATGTGGAGATGAGACAGCATTTTGGACTTCTATCAAGGTTTTCTTCAACTCAGAGACATGGTGTACCATAATGATTTAGTTTAGTTTTCAGGATCAAATCTCAATTTCTATAAAATTAAACTCTATGATCATAGGTAAGTTTAAAATTTCAGTGCCTCCTTTTCATCACTAGTAGAATGTAAACAACATATTTGCATTAGTGTATTGTAAAGATGAGATAAATTATGAAATATTTTTAGACATGCTAACATGCTCAATAAAGAGTTTGTAACTGTTATGATGATAATGATTTTATTCAGAATATTTGGCGACCTTAATAAAGGTTCGTAGGGTAAATAATTGTCAGGATTTTCTGCCCTCCCAGCCATAAGGACTGATGGATCCCTGCGGTCCTGAATGCATGCCTGATGGCGGGCACCTGGAGTAGGGTGTGGGCATGCGTAGGTGGGTTCACCTGGGCTGAGCCTGGGCTTATAAGGGTGGCGTGACCGGCTGCAGGCGGAACAGCAGAGCGGAACCACCGGAAGGGGAGCCGAGAGAGCAGCACCAGCAGAGGCGCAGAGACCACAAGAGAACGCTGGAGAGCCCAGAAAGAGTGAAGACTTGCTGGGGGGTCGGGGGCAGGCCTCCCAGCACCCCTGCCTGCCCTGTACCTGGTAAATCCCAATAAAAGCCTGCAGAAGTGACTGAGCGCTCCTAGGATTCTCCTTTACCCCCTTCTGCCCCAATTATAGAAAACCTGCTCTGTGCCTTCCCGCTGCTACACCCACAAAACAAGAATTGAAATTCTTTTTTTTTAATTACATCGTTGTTCATTTTTGTACAATAGCTGCTTTCTCCCCTCAGGTAGAGTCCCCACAGTTCTCAGCCACCCCATCACCTGTGAACTGTCACCATAGTCCTTTGTTCTTCCCTCCCGGTTTGGACCCCTCTGGTCTCCCCCTCCCTTGCTCTACACCTCAGGTCTGTGGTCAGCTAGCTAGTTTGCCTTTTTTTGACCTGAGGTTTCTAAGGAGGATTACAGATGAAATATCTCTCACCTTGGGAATAAGGAATCCTCTGAACTTGATGTTCTGAGTCACTGCATGGGGCAGGCCACTGGGCGCGAGGTCAATGTATCTCTGGACCTCGTGCACCAAGGCGTCCATGTAGGGCATGTGGTTGCGGTCCTGCATGCTGGGACTCCGGAGTCTGCCCACCACGTTCTGGATCTCCTTCTGGGCTTTCGCTGGCAATGTCAGAATGAGATTTGTGTGAAAAGAAGAAGACTTTTTACGTGTTCTTCTTGGGCCTGGTGATATGGTGGGGGAAGAGGTAAAGAAGGGAAAATGCTGGGTTGCTACCTGGGGGTGGGGGAAGAAGCAGAATTTGTGTTTCTGGGCATACTGGGGTCTCATGCAAGACATGAACATGTGTATATTATAGTACACGATTGTACTAAAAACTCAGTTCTAATTCCTTGTTTTGTGTACTTTTCTTTAGTGAACTTCAGGATCTGGAATTATGAAGATTCACTAGAGGCCATGGACTCGAACTATTTTGAGTAAGTCAGATTTTGTTTCAAATATGTTAAGTTCCAAGAGGGTAAGAGCTATCCAGTACATAAATGCCAACAAACTAGAACAATTGAAAGATGTTTAGTTGAATCAGCACAGAGCACAAAAGTAAATAAGTTAATAATTATTTAGACAGTAAACTATAACAGGCAAGCTGCACTATTATATTACTTTATAATTCCTCTCAGTAATCCTATGTGTTGGTATTATTTTGTGTGTTTTGCAAATAGGAAACAGACTTAGAACATTTTGTATATCCAGGTTTTCTGTGGTATTTTCCTTCCTCAAACCTACAATTTTAGAAATTGAGTAAGGTTAAAAAAAGGAATTTGTGTTCATGAAGCATATTTCCCTTTATTTGCAAAGTTAATAACATGTAACTAGTAATGCGTGGCTTAATTATGACTATTAATTATTAAAAACATTTAATAACTTTTTCTATGACTGTCAGGAAGTAAAATTTTCTCCTTTAAAACAGATGAAGGAGCGAAGTAGGGAGAGAATCATGAATCTGAGGTCACACAGCTACTTCCTAATACTCAGAATTCTAAGCCACTGTTGTTAGGTCTGTAAGTCATTTTCTCCAGGATCATATAGTGACTTTTTTGTTTTGTTTTGTCTGTATGTTTTCTTTCCTATTTCTTTTATATATATTTTTACATCATTGTTCATTTTTGCACATTGTATGCATTTTCATCTTGGTTATAGTCCCCACACAATTCCCACCCACCCTTGTTTTGATCCTACTCCCCCCCCCCCCGTAGTGTCTCTGGTTTATAGCTGCTTGTTGATTTTGATTTTTACCTTATTATAATTAGTATTGTACCTGGTCCCTTATTTATGTTGTGACTTTTGTCAAATGGCATTTACTTACTACCAGAAGAACATCTTTGTAATGGAATATGTTAAAATTATATGGTACTAGATATAAAGAAAAAAGTTGGGCAGCTCTCCCAAAGGTTTATCGTGGAGGATGATGGATGTTTTGGTGGTGGGTGTGGCATGGTGATGTGCCTCTGAAGAGAGGTGGACCTATTCCCCTAGATCATGTACAGTGTTGTAAACCTATGTTACCTCAATTTAAAAAAAAAAGAACTTGGAGCAAGAAAAGAGAGTGTAAAATTATTTGACTGAAAGAAACTGTGTCATGTGAAAATAAGGCAGCTACATCCATATCCCACAATGTGTGTGAGCAAAGCAATTTCAAGACTCTACTTGTAAATTGCTCCATTTAGTCTTATATGTAATGGGAGGGTATTATAAATAAGTGGGAAAATCTGGTGCTGATGTCAGAGATAACTGCATGTGGTTTAATTGTGCTAAAACTGTCTTAATATGCACCAAAGCACAAGACATGATGTATTAGTGAAGAAAATATTCTCTTAGATGAGGACACAGTAAAAATGAAGAGGACAAAATGAAAAAGTTGGATTTGCAAAAGAAATTATGTTTGCAAGGGAATTTTTTTTTTTTTTACCTAAAATGGTGCACTTGAAAAGATACAATTTTTATTGTGTACTACTTTGTTTTGGTTAGAGTGAGTCTCTGTGATCAAAAAATACTGTGATTTTCTCAAGTCACTTCTTAACATTCCAAAAAACTTCAGTAGAAATATCTTTTAACATGCTTTTCAATATAATACTGGAAGTCCTAGCCAGAGCAATAAGACAAGAGAAAGACATACAAGGAATCCAAATAGGAAAAGAAGAAGTCAAACTGTCATTATTTGCAGATGACATGATAATATACATAGAGAACCCCAAAAACTCCACAGAAAAACTAATTCAACTAATTTATCAGTTCAGTAAAATGGCAGGATACAAAATCAACACGCAAAAGTCAGTAGCCTTCCTATACACAAACAATAAATCTGAAGAAAAGAAATAAAAAAAATCCCTTTTATTATTGAAACAAAAAAAATCAAATACTTGGGAATAAATCTAACAAAAGAGGTAAAGGACCTATACAAAGAAAACCATAAAACACTGTTAAAAGAAATAGAAGAAGATACAAAGAAATGGAAAGACATACCCTGCTCATGGATTGGAAGAATAAACATTATTAAAATGGTCATCCTACCAAAAGCAATATACAGATTCAATGCTATTCCAATAAAAATTTCAATGTCATTGTTCAAAGAAATAGAACAATTATTGATGAAATTCATATGGAATCACCAAAAACCCCGAGTAGCCAAAGCTCTCCTGAAAAAAACAGAAGGGAATGGAGGCATCACACTCCCAGATTTCAAACTATACTACAAAGCCATAATCATCAAAACTGCATGGTATTGGAACAAGACCAGACATGCAGACCAATGGAATCGAATAAAAAATCCAGAAATAAACCCACAGATTTATGGTCAACTAATATTTGACAAAGGAGCAAAGAATATTCATTGGAGCAAAGAAAGTTTGTTCAATAAATGTTGCTGGGAAAACTGGGTTGCTACATGCAAAAGAATGAAGCTTGACTACTACCTCACACCATACACAGAAATCAACTCAAAATGGATTAAAGAACTAGATATAAGACCTGAAACCATAAAATACACAGAAGGAAATATAGGTGAAACACTATGTGATATGCACATCAAAGACATCTTTACAGACACATCACCCAAAGCAGTGATAGCGAAGGCAAAGACTACATCAAATTAAAGAGCTTCTGCACAGCAAAAGAGACAATAACAAAAACAAAGAGAAACCCCACCAACTGGGAGAACATTTTTGCACACAACACTAATGATAAAGGACTGATCACAAAAATCTGCAAAGAGGGCCTCCCTGGTGGCGCAGTGGTTGAGCGCTGGGTTGCGAAGCTGCCCGCAGCCTCTGCAGCGCCGGTTCAATTCCTGCTGCTCCCCGGCCACCGGAGGAGGGTCCCACATGGCGCGCAGACCTCTCCTGCCGCCTGCTGCTCCCCTCAGCAGTGTACTTTGGTCCTTCTGCCTGCTCTGCTCCCCGCTCTGGCTCTGGTGAATTCTCTCACCCTCCCGCGCTTCTGACTGTACCCAGTGCTTGTATAAATGAATAAAAATAAATCTTTAAAAAAAAAAATCTGCAAAGAGCTGATGAGACTCAACAACAACAAAGAAAATAATCCAAACAAAAAATGGTCAGAAGAGCTAAAAAGAAACTTCTCTGAAGAGGAAATGCAAATGGCCAACAGGCATATGAAAAAATGTTCAACATCACTTGTAATCAGGAAATGCAAATCAAAACTACCATGAGATACCATCTTACACCAGTGAGAATGGCACATATTACAAAAACTAGCAACAACAAATGTTGGCGAGGATGTGGAGAAAAATGAACTCTCCTGCACTATCGGTGGGAGTGCAAACTGGTCCAACCACTATGGATAGCTGTGTGGAGATTTCTGGACCTACTAAACATAGAGTTTCCATATGATCCAGCAATTCCACTCTTAGGTATTTACCCAAAGGACACAGAAACATCAATTCCAAAGAGCACCTGCACCCCTATGTTTATAGCAGCACTGTTTACAATAGCTAAGCTTTGGAAACAGCCCAAATGCCCCAAAATAGATGACTGGATCAAGAAGATGTGGTACATATAAATCATGGAATATTACTCAGCATTCAAAAAAGATAAACACATGCAATTTGCAGCAACATGGATGGCGCTGGAAGGGCTCACGCTCAGCAAAATAAGCCAGAAAGAAAAAGAAAAATACCAGGGCCTCCCCGGTGGCACAGCGGTTGAGCACTGGGTTGCGAAGCTGCCCGCAGCCTCTGCAGCACCGGTTCGATCCCCGGCTGCTCCCCGGCCACCGGAGGAGGGTCCCACATGGCACGCAGACCTCTCCTGCCACCCGCTGCTCCCCTCAGCAGTGTACTTCGGTCCTTCTGCCTGCTCTGCTCCCCGCTCTGGCTCTGGTGAATTCTCTCACCCTCCCGCACTTCTGACTGTACCCAGTGCTTGTATAAATAAATAAGTAAATAAATATTTAAAAAAAAAAGAAAAAGAAAAATACCAGATGGTCTCACTCATAGCAGGAATCTGGAAAACTTAAATAAGGGGCCAGGAAAATGAATAACTATAAGAAAGTGAAAATCAAAATCAACAAAAACTATGAACCAGAGACACTCTATGAGGGGTGGAGGGCGGGGAGGGGAGGGATTGGGGTCAAAATAAGGGAGTTGCAATTGTATGGGGAATATAAAAATAAAATTTTAAAAAATTTAAAAAAAAGAAATATCTTTTAACAAAAAATAATAATTTTCTGGACAAGTGAGATTTTTTAGAAAAAGGGGAAGGCAAATTCTATCCAGATCTTCACACAGCTGTGTTTACTGTATCTGTACTGACCTGTATCAAGGACACAAGGGAAAACAATCCCTTCTGCTCTTCAAATTTCTGCTGCTATTTAAACATTTTGTTCTCTTTTGGTACATTGATATAATCTAATTTGAATGTAATACATCCAATGGTAGTAAAAATTCCTGGAATTCCATCCTGCCTGTCACCTGTGATCATACCTGTGACCTCTGGGTATTTCAGCAGCAGGAGGAGAGCATATCTCAGGGTGGTGCTCACAGTCTCTGACCCCCCAAAAAACAGATCCACCAAGGTAGCGATCAAGTTGTCCATGGTAAATTCAGACTGTTTGTTGTGTTTTTCCTAGCAACAATGTGTTAGAATTACTTGACAAAGAAGAAAGCCTTTGAGGGAACATAAGTCAATACAACATCATTATTAGCTTAATTTGCTTATTTGCAAATTAAAGCAGACATTAAAGAGTGCTATTGCTTCCTTAAAATTTGATGAATTGTTAGGATTCCGTCAAACACTTAAAACATAATCAGTCATGAATTTCCAACATGTTGACAATTTCTTTCAAACAATCCTTTTCAAGTCATCACTGCTACTCATTGTCAGTTGTAGCATGTTAGCAATTTTATCATTTTTTAATGATAATTTTTTAAAATTTCCCAGTCAATCCTTCAGTGCTACCCACCCCAAACTGTATCACTAGCATGAGCTCATCAGCAATTATACCCACAACAGTTCCTCAGTTATTCTCAAGATAAACTGAAAATGTCACTGCCTTATCATTTCCTGAAACTTTGTCATCTTTGTCCATCTCAGAGTTTTTGTCATCTTTGTCCATCTCAGATCTTCCTCGAAACCTACTTCAGTCTGTGAAAATTTCCGACAAAATTTCCAAAGATAATGCTTTTTGTATCTCTATCCATTCCTGAATTCCCTCACTTCTTACATCTTCCATTCATGGGATTTAACTTTATGAATGATGTGATCATTAATCTTTTTTTTATCAGTAATGAATTTATTTAAAAGTTCATTTGCCAAGAATCAATTCCTAGAAGGATACTTTTAATATGCTTGGACATTTTGAATGTGACTGGTTATCTGATTTCCCAGTTCACTGTAATTTGAAAGCATTAAACAAGAAGATAGCCAGGAATCTTCTCACTCTTACCCTACTCAAAATATAATTTCACTTTTTAAAATTTATAGTTTTTATATCATCCTGACAATGAGTGACATGGCGGAGAAATAACTAACATTGACATGAAAACTTAAATTTAAGAAATGGGAAGAGAGTTCGACTAGCTTAAGGAGACCCTAGGGTGTGATCACATGATGCTGCATTATAATGGCGGGTTTTTGCGTTGATGATTAATCTTGAACGCGTGTGTGCCGGTTTGTTTCAATGTGCATGTGAGTCTGCCCCCAGTAAAGAATCAGCTTTAACATGGTTAATATAAAAACTTCCAAGTCATTTTGATAAGATGTTTTGTTGACAACACTGCACTGACAAATAGCAGTCGTGGAGCAAGCTGTAGGATACAGGATGCTGCCGAAGAGCAAGGTCCTGGCCTTTTTACTAATAGAATAATCCTATGGTATCAGTTGTGAGGGAAAGGAGACAAAAAGAAAAGGGAGGGGTGAAACTAGAAAATGTGCTCCGTCAGCTGTGGCATCAGGGGTTGCAAGTCTGCCCTCCAGGCATCTGCTTGCTGACTTGGTATTGTAATTGAGATCAAGCCCTAGACCCCCAGCCATGGTTTCAATCTTATCAACAAGCCTTTCCACTCATCAGTTTCTGGGGTCCCTTGTCATACATCTGCCCTCAGACCCCAGGCGTTCCCAGTCATACTTCTTGATGTATAACTGGGAGTACGTTGATACATTGGTCCTCAGCACCACCACCCCCCTACACCCTCCAGGCATTCCTGTTTGTAACTCATGATGTATAGTTTTCCCAAAGTGATTAAGCTTTAAGCTCTTCGTTGATCTGAAAGGCACCTTGTAAGGTCTGGCTCTTATGACTGATTGACCCAGCTGTTCTGACCTTGTTTAAGAATGCAGAACTGCAGGTAACAAAAAATGGTGGATGAACAGGCCACTTAGGACTAGCAGACCCACAGTAAGAAATATCTTAAGATACACAATGTGGTTTGCAGAAGGAAATAATACATCTTTAGGGAGGATGGTTTGGTTTAATATCTCAGCTTTACTGGGAAGAACAAAGCTAATCCATGAGTCACATCACCCACAAAGATGAAATAGGCTATGGAGGCCACATAGTACCTGTTCCATTTTGATCAGGAAGTAGTCAATAAAGTCTCGAGGGTTATTGAGGTCAAAGGATTCTTGGTGGTCTTTTATCTCTTCCAAAATAAACTTTTTTACCTCATTAATGTTTTTCATTAACTTATTATGACTTCCTGGAAGATAATACATTAAGGAAGGGAAAGTGTTGTAGAGCTGAAAGAGGAAAGAATCACTTGTTAATTCACTTGGCAGTCTCTTAGAGGTGCAGCTTATGTACCAGACATTTTGCTATATGATGAAAAGATAAATAAGATATGCTTCCTACACTAGAATGTACTTAGAATTTTAAGGAGAAAACTGATAAAATGACCAGAGTTACAGTATGCGTGCATTACAATGTCACAACCAATTAAATTCTTTTTTTTAAGAATTATTTATGCATATAAGACCTGGGGTACAGACAAGAGATGCAGGGGGTGACAGGATTCACCAGAGACAGAGTGGGGAACAGAACAGGCAGACTGGCTAAAATACACTGCTGAGGGGAGTAGCAGGCAAGACAGGAGAGGTCTGCTGCATCATGTGGGTGGCTCCCTGGCCAGCTGGTAATCGAGCTCATGCTGCAGAGGCTGCAGATTGCTTCATAGTGGGGTGCTTAACCCCTTGTGTCACCAGGGAGGCCCAGAACCAATTAAATTCTTAACTATGACCAAAGGAAATCAGGAGCAACCACCTCTTCCCAGATGAGATATAGAGGTTCAGAAGAGGTGGTCAAACAATCTAAGATGCCAAACTAGTAATAGAATCTGAAACCCCTCTTTATCCAGCTTATTTACCTCTACTTCTCCAGAGAATTGCCTAAAAAGTGTGCATGGCTCATACCCTTTTTTTATGTAATGAAGAAACAGTTCATTGTAGAGATCAAAGAAATCCCTGAATTATTTTTATTTAGGCACTTTATATTCTGAGAAATGTGCATGTTGCTCTCTTGATCTGGCCATTGCCAGTCCTGAGTTTCACTCGCTTACTTAAGACAGCATCTTAGGACTTACTAAACACTCTTGGTAGACAAGGAAGCAGTCTATTCAGTCTGGGATCTTGTATCAAACTTGATAGAGTATCAAGAAATCTAGATTCTAAGGGCCTCCCTGGTGGCACAAGGGGTTAAGCACAGCACTGTGAAGCTCTCAGCAGCCACTGCAGCACGAGCTCTGGCATAACAGACCTCTCCTGTCTGCTCAGCTATTCCCCTCAGCAGTGTGTTTCAGTCAATCTGCCTGTTCTGTTCCCCACTCTGTCTCTGGTGCATCCTCTCACCCCCGCAACTCTGGCCTGTACCTCAGCTCTTGTATGCATAAATAAATAAACCTTTTTAAAAAAAGAAATCTAGTTTCTAGACCTAGCACACCCCTTGCTTTAGCTTGGCTAAACATTTTTGGAAATGTGCTTAATATCTCAAATAAGTTGACTCTTAGTCCTGGAAAGTCTTTCCCAGAAGGAATCCGTCACAACTTTATAATCTATCAAAATTTTTATTTGAATTTTTTTCTTTTATTAATTTAAAATATCTTCTCACATTGTTCATTTTTGTACAGTGTTTGATTTCCCCTATGGTTGTAGTCCCTACGGCCATCACCAAGCTTCCTTGTGCCCTTCCCAGCATGTTTTGACCCTTTCTCTCGCCTTCCCTACACAAATTTTTAGTCATTAATAATTATAAACATATGAAATAGCATTTTCTGACACTGCACTGTAACCGGTACATTTTAGAGCACCACCCTGTTCATCTACAAATATAAAATCAGGGAAAATAATGTTTTTTTAAAAAAGGCAATGATTGATTATGGTTTTTGTAAATTCACCTTTCTATGACTATATTCCATGTATTAAATTTCATTTCTTGGGCCTCTCCAGTGGCGCAGCAGTTGAGTGCTGGGTTGCGAAGCTGCCCGCATCTTCTGTGGCGCCGGTTTGATCCCCGGCTGCTCCCCGGCCACCGGAGGAGGGTCCCACATGGTGCGCAGACCTCTCCTGCCGCCCGCTGCTCCCCTCAGCAGTGTACTTCAGTCCTTCTGCCTATTCTGCTCCCTGCTCTGGCTCTGGTGAATCCTCTCACCCTCCCGCGCTTCTGACTGTACCCAGTGCTTGTATAAATAAATAAATAAATCTTTTTTAAAAAAATTCATTTCTTCACATTAAATTGATTTGACAACTTACTAATTGGTTTTAAATGATGGCCTGATAAACTTTAACTCTTTTGAAATAGGGCAAAGGGCTGTGGTGCGCATGAACGATAAATTAGCTAGAAATTTTTTATTTAAAAGAAAACGTGATCAGGCCTCCCCGGTGGTGCAACAGGTTGAGCCCAGCGCTGTGAAGCTGTCTGTAGCCTCTGCAGCGTGGGTTCGATTCCCGTTCAGCCAGGGAGATACCCACATGGTGCGGCAGACCTCTCCTGTCTCGCCCGCTGCTCCCCTCAGCAGTGCTTTCAGTCCCTCTGTCTGTTCTGCTCCCTACTCTGCCTCTGGTGAATTCTCTCAGCCCCCACACCTCTGGCCTGTATCCCAATTCTTGTATAAAGAAATAAATCTTTAAAAATAATAATTAAATAATAAAAGAACCTTGATCTTACCTGTATCCAGGGGCTGCTTAAAATTTTGAGGCTTTCATGAAAAAGGTCTAACATAGTTGCCAACTTCTTATCACTGTACTCAAAACGATTTTGGAAAACAATGGAGCAGATCACATTGCAGGGAGCATAGCCCAAAAGTAAAGTAGGATCACAGGGAGATGCTGCAAAGAATAAGTTAAACATTACAATACAGTTTTCATATAAATCTGAAGCTGACTGCTTACTATAATTGAGCAGGGTTGACTTCTAAGATTTTTGAAGTAGAAGAACTACGTGGACTTTCCATTATCAGTGTAAATTGAACATGCCTAAGCTAAAATTTAGTATCTTTTCTCAAAACTGTGCAATGCAGTCCAAATTATTTATTAATTTGCCTCAAGTATTCTCCCATTTATATCATTCTCCAAATAAGAGCCACTGGGAATTCACATGAAGGAAAATAAATAAGAGGTCATTCAAATACATATTTAAAGGTGTGAAATGTAGTTCTCAGGGGGACACTGCGTCATGGGGCCCAAAGAAAGCTGAGCAATGATGATCACATTTTATAAAACATAGTTGAAAAAAAAACCAGGTATTTCTTATAGAAAAGAAGAATAGAGCCTCCCTAGTGGTGCAGGGGTTAAAGTCTCAGCACTTTCAAGCTACCGCCAGGCACTGTGGCATGTGTTTGAGCCCCTGCCAGGGATCTGACCCACATGGCACAGCAGTCCACTCCTGTCTCACCCACTGCTCCCCTCAGCAGTGTATTTCAGTCAGTCTGCCTGTTCTGCTCCCCATTCTGTCTCTGGTGAATGCTCTGTGCACCCCCTGCACCTCTTCGATGCATAAATAAATAAAATAAATCTTTAAAAAAAATTGTGAAAGGAATTAAATTCACATATTGGAAACAGGCATCCCATCTGTAAGATTTTTTTTTAAAGATTTATTTATTTATTTATACAAGCACTGGGTACAGTCAGAAGCGCAGAAGGGTGAGAGAATTCACCAGAGCCAGAGCGGGGAGCAGAGCAGGCAGAAGGACCGAAGTACACTGCTGAGGGGAGCAGCGGGTGCCAGGAGAGGTCTGCGCGCCATGTGGGACCCTCCTCCGGTGGCTGGGGAGCAGCCGGGGATTGAACCGGCGCCACAGAGGCTGCGGGCAGCTTCACAATCCAGCGCTCAACCGCTGCGCCACCAGGGAGGTGCACATCTGTAAGATTTTAACTAATTTTTAAATAGCTTTTTATTTTAATTTGGGGGTTATATTTTGACTTCTCCACATTTACCCCCAAATTGTAACAACTCAGTTGCTATCACTTCTCCTACAGGCCCTCCCATCCAGTCCTAGGTAATATGTATCAAAAGTCCAGTACATGTTCATTGGCACTCTCCTGCCTTTTTCAGAAATGTATTTATTCTAAGGAGCAAATCATAATCATGCAAATATTTGTAATATTTGCATTTTATATTAGTATCAGCAAAAAAGAGGAATCCGTCTATCTGGATAATGATACAACATTGATTTAAAACACAGTGGGAGCCTCCCTGGTGGCACAAGGTGTTAAGCACAGCACTGTGAAGCTGTCTGCAGCCTCTGCAGCAGACTTCGATCCCAGACTGGCCAGGGAGCTACCCACATGGTACAGCAGACCTCTCCTGTCTCTCCCCCTGCTCCCCTTTTCAGTGTATTTCAGTCAGTCTGCCTGTTCTGCTCCCCAGTTTGTCCCTGGTGAATCCTCTAACCTTCCACACCTCTGGCCTGTACCCCAGTTCTTGTATGCATAAATAAATAAATGTTTAAAAAACTAAAAACACAATAGCCCTCCACTGTATAGAATATAGTGATGTTAGTTTTCTTGAAAAATATTTAATATTGAGGCTAGTAAACCCTATCTTATGAATCTGATCTTGCTCCTTTCCTGTCAAGTCTCCTACCCTCCTCTCTCCTCCACACTTCTTACCCCTGCATGTGATGTACACACACACACACACACACATACCCCAATATGCCCAGGAGCAGATGTGCTACTGAGCTCCCTCCCTTCCCTCTCACACCCATTGATTAGCTGTTATGCAGCCCTACACACTAAGAAGGATTTGATGTGACCCTTACTGCTGAACCACTAAGGCTCTTTTTTCAGTTTTGAGATATAATTAACATAAATATATATGAGATATAATTAAAATTTTCAGTTTTGAGATATAATCCAATACTGTATAAGTTTAAGGTATGCAGCATGATGACTTGATATATAAATTTTGTGAAAAGTTTGTGATGTTTCTCAAGAAGTTCCTAAAGAAATTACAGAGATTTTCAAGTCATCAGGACCAAAATTACTAGCTATTATCAAATCCATGTTCTCTTTATTTCCCACTATATTTAAAGAAATTTTTTTAAGATTTATTTATTTATTTATACAAGCACTGGTTACAGTCAGAAGCATGGGAGGGTGAGAGAATTCACCAGAGCAGGGAACGGAACAGGCAGACTGATGACATACACTGCTGAGGGGAGCAGCGGGTGTGTCAGGAGAGGTCTGCTGTGCCATGTGGGACCCTCGCCAGCGGCCAGGGATCGAACCGGCGCTGCAGAGGCTGCAGGCAGCTTCACAGCCCAGCACTCAAGCTGCACCACCAGGGGAGGCCCTAAAATTTTTTTTTTAATTGAGGTAACTTTGGTTAACATTATTGTTTGTATTTTGGAAGTATAGGATCCCCGCCTTCAGATACTGTTACTTTAGCCCTCTCACCACCCAGGTGCCCATAGTCCTTTGTTTTCTGGTCTGCTTTCCCACTTCCTCTTCCTTAACCTCCTCCCTTTAACCACCCCCCGCCCCCACCATAGCCAGCTTTCAAGGGTGAGTGTTGGTATTTGGCTTTATCTGATCCTATGTTTAGTTTCTCTATATTCCACATAAAAGTGACGCCATTGGGTATTAGTCTTTTTCCTTCTGATTATTTCCCTTAGCCTTATCCCTTCCAGCTCCAGTGATGGCAAGAGTTTATCTTTTCAGTCTCTGAGAGGTATCTGTTCTGCTTTCTCTCCTTTGGCGCAGACAGATAGCCACATTTCCAGGCTTTGCTTATTTAGGCTTGGTCCTAAGTTATAGCCCATGCAATGTGAGAGAAATTCTGACTACCCCTGCCCTACCTGACCTGTTAAAACTAAGTTGCTCTTTTCCTTGTTTGTTGCTCTTTTTTGCTCTCATGCAAAGAAAGGAATCCTGGTGACAGTGGAAGCCACATGTTGAGATATCAAAGCCCGCACCAAGCTGATGAATGAAAAAGCTGGTGCCAACTACTTCACTCTTACTACTGTTATGTGAACAAAAAAGTAAACTGTTGTATTTGATTCACCGTATCTCCCTGTAATCTCTCTCTAGTAGCATTAAATCTCCCCAAAAGATCACTGTTGATTCCATAAAGAAATACACACCATTGGTTTTTTTTAATGCTTCCACCAGACATGAGGCTTCCTCCTGAATTCTGTCTTCAATGGTCTTCTTCCCCATCCCCATTTTCCGCAAAATCATGAGGGAGAAATGCCGGGTTTGCTTCCATGTTTCTCCGTGGCTGAAAGCAACTCCTACCAGGACCAGAACAAACAGAGGAATCATCTACAGGATCATGAATTCTAGCCCAGAGTCTTTATCTCAGAAAATGATAATATCACTTTAGCAGGGATGTAAATAGAGAGGTGGCAGCCTAAGGAATCCCCACCCTCTCCTCACAACCCAGCAACTTCATCTGCTTCCTCTCATTGGGCTAATATCTTTCTGTCAACATTCTTGGTTTTACATATTCATCCACTAGGTCCTCTAAACCTCAGCATAACTCTGTGAACCAACAATTTTGTCCCCATTTTACTGATGCTGAAGACCAGGGAGGCAAAATGATTGCTCTAAGCTCTCACAGCCCATAAAGCATGGTGAGTCTCAGTCATAGGTTAAGCTTACAGTGCTGACTTTCATGCATTATGTGTGAATTTTATTTTTTTTATTTTTTAAAGATTTATTTTTATTTATGCATATAAAAACTGGGCTACAGGCCTGAGGTGGGGGGTGGTGAGAGGATTTACCGGAGAGAGCGGGGAGCAGAACAGGCGGATCCACTGAGATACTCTGCTGAGGGGAGCAGGGGAAGACAGGAGAGGTCAGCTGCTCCATGTGGCTAGCTCCCTGGCCAGACTCGAACTCTTGCTGCAGTGGCTGCTAATTGCTTGGTAGCACTGTCTTTAATCCCTGTGCCACCAGGGAGGCCCTATGTGTGAATTTTAGATGAAACAACAAAAGGAGTCAATTCTTAAGGGAATAGATAGCTCATGTGCATTGGATGGAAGCTCATGAAAACCTGTTCCTCGGACAATGGATACAGCCACAACCCTCGTCATTTTGTAAGACCCTTTAGTAGGAAACAGGAAAGATTTATTTGCTTAGCAGTTCCTTTTCAATTTTAACATTTCTCCTTTTATTTGTTAAATCTCTCCTATGAAATGTGGTCTTTGCACCAAGGAAATTCAACATCAGACTCACAGAACCAAGACAAGACCAAGGGAAAAAAATAATGCACATAGGGCTTCCCCAGTGGCACAGCAGTTGAGCGCTGGGTTGCGAAGCTGCCCGCAGCCTCTGTGGCGCCGGTTCAATCCCCGGCTGCTCCCTGGCCACTGGAGGAGGGTCCCACATGGCGCGCAGACCTCTCCTGCCGCCCGCTGCTCCCCTCAGCAGTGTACTTCGGTCATTCTGCCTGCTCTGCTCCCTGCTCTGGCTCTGGTGAATTCTCTCACCCTCCTGCGCTTCTGACTGTACTCAGTGCTTGTATAAATAAATAGATAGATAGATAGATAGATAGATAGATAGATAGATAGATAGATAGATAGATAGATAGATAAAAATATTTAAAAATAAATAAATAAATAATGTACATAGGCAATTTGTCCAGACAGGTCTTGGAGAACAATGTCGGGGAGGAAGTGACACCATTTTGAGTCTTATCTCCTTTGGACTAGATGGTTCCAAAACCAAATGGAAGATGATCCAATACTTAATTTATAAAAACTTTTTAAAATATCAGTTCTAATCCACACTCACTATGCATATATGATCCTCCTGTTAGAATGTATTTGTGCTTTTTTCTTTGTATTCTAGTAGATTTAAATACTTCTTATGCTTTATTAGAAGAAAAGGGGATAGAAGGCAAGGTTGGAAATATTCTAAACCTATATTGACCCCATATATACTAGGCAAGCTCCCTAAAGTAATCTTTGGAAACCATGACTCAGGCCATAAAGAAAATGTTCATTGAGGGCCTCCCTGCTGGTGCAAGAAGGTAAGATGCAACCTATGTCTGCAGCCTCTGCAGCACAAGTTCAATCCCCGGCCAGGGTGCTACCCACATGGCGCTGCAAACCTCTCCTGACTCATCCGCTGCTCCCCTCAGCAGTGTATTTCAGTCAATCTGCCTATTCTGTTCCCCACTCTGTCTCTGGTAGGTCCTCTAACTCCCCCATACCTCTGGCCTGTGCCCCAGCTCTTGTATGCATAAATAAATAAATCATTTTAAAAAAGAAAATGTTCATTGAATAGGATAAATTTGTCATTTTCCTCCCTCTCTCTTTTTTGCCTTTTCCTCTTTATCTTAACTAAACACAATTTAAAAATGAAAATATGGTTTAGTCACACATTCATAGACCATTAGTGGTTGAGTGGTTTGCTTTCATTGCATCTGATGTTTCACAGACATAGGCCACCTTCATAATTTTAAATATGGATTAATGAACCTTCATAGAAAATTGCTGGAATTATGATATTTTCATACATTTCCTTAAATACTTTTAATTTCTCAATGCCTTAGCCAACCGGAAGTCTTTGCAACTTACATATCCACACACATCCCCCAAATAGAAGCATACCTCGTCCTTGCAGGTTGTGGTCAAATGCTGGGATACTCCCCCTGCCAGAAAACACCTCCCCATTATCAATCAGAGCTTCCTTGACCACTTCAAATCCGTGCAACACCACGGTGGGTTTTAAGCCAAAATATAGAGTGAACACAGGGCCATATTCTTCTGCTAACTGGAAAAGGAGTAAGAGATACATTATTGAGAATTTCACAAGTAAAATGTAGATCAGAGATAGAATTATTTTCTATTTAACTGAAGAAACATTTTTAAAAGATTTTATTTATTGGGCCTCCCCGGTGGCACAGGGGTTAAAGAAAGACACAGCGCTATCAAGCTATCCACAGCCACTGCAGCACAAATTCAATCCCCGGGCAGGGAGCTACCCACATGGCACAGCAGACCTCTCCTTCCTCTCCCACTGTTCCCCTCAGCAGTGTATTTCAGTCATTCTATCTGTTCTGTTTCCCACTCTGTCTCTGGTGAATCCTCTCACCCACCCTCCTCTCTCGCACCTCTGTCCTACACCCCAGTTTTTGTATGCATAAATAAATAAATCTTTAAAAAATAAATAAAACATAAAGATTTTATTTTTGCATAGAAGAACTGGAGTATAGGCCAGAGCTCTGGGAGGTGAGAGGATTCACCAGAGACAGAGTGGGGAACAGAACAGGCAGATTGACTGAAATATACTGCAGAGGGGAGCAGCGGATGAGACAGGACAGGTCTGCTCTACCATTTGTGGGCCAGCTCTCTGAGTGGGGATCCAACTCAGGCCCTAGAGGTGATAGTGCTGATACTTAACTCCTAGGTCACCAGGGAGGCCCTGAAGAAACATGTTAATATTCATTCTCCCATTATAGAAGATTTCAAATTCTAGACTCAGTAATCTAATGAGAAATCACAGTAGTTAAGTGGTAATTATCATGGTATTTTTTGTTAATGTTGCTATTATAGTTATCCTTTATTCAGCTCCTACTGTGTGACAGAGCTATTTTATGGACTTTATTCATGGTTTATTTTTTAAAGATTTATTTATTTATGCATTCAAGAGCTGGGGTACAGGCAGAGATGTGAGGGGGTGACAGGATTCACCAGAGACAGAGCGGGGAACAGAACAGGCAGAGTGACTGAAATACACTGCTGAGGGTGTAACAGGGTGGTCCCCAGGAAAGGGGGAGGTTCCAGGTTCCCTGCCCCACCCAAGGGAGGGTGGAGCTGAGCAGGGAGAGGAGAAGCTGCAGAAGAGACTGAGGAAGGAAGCTGGATGGAGCCAGGGGACCTGGAGGAGGCACATGGAGCCTAGAGACACGTGAAGAAACTGCGCTTGTCTTTTGGTCGTGAACTGGGTGACGCAGATGTGGGTGAGACCCGTGGGGAGGTGACCATGGCAGCTTTTATCTTGATGTTGATTTTGCTCTTTTCCTTCTGGGCTTGTCTGGTTGTTTCTGATCCTTTTCTGTGGGTCCCCACTGGAAAATGCTTTAGACTTGTGGCAGGCTTTGGGGCCTTGTTCTGGGCCAATCCCATATGGATGGACTTTTACCCACGAGGGGACGGGTAACTTTGGGTGCTTCATTTAGAAACTAGATTCTTTGCCGTTCCTGTATTGTTTCCTAATTGTATTAAAGTTCCTTCCCATTAAAGTCTCATATGTTTTGTGTTGATGCGGCAGATGGCAGAACCCATTTTGAATAGGCAGGTTTGCGGGGTTTGGGCTGCCCCTCTCCCTGCCCTGTAACAAGGGGAGAAGCGGGCAAGACAGGAGAGGTCTGCTGCGCAACGTGGGTTGCTCCCTTGCAGGCTGGGGATCGAACTCATGCTGCAGAGGCTGTGGATTGCTTCATAGCCAGTGCTTAACCTCTTGCACCACCAGGGAGGCCCTTCATACTGTTTTATTAACTTTTTTTCTGATGAACTTAAAATTGCACCAAGTTTCTCTTCCTTCTTAGAATTACAATAAATGATTTATTTCTCCATCTGGAAAGGAAGTTGCTCCATCTTGTCTCAGGTGTAAACCAATCATCATCCCTCCTTTTCCTTTCTCTCTGTCTTCTTTTTAGCACCAGAGATCTCTAAGATTTATTTAAGTTTTATTGATTAGCCACAGGTTTACATAACTGTGCAGAGACCTCTAACATGATAGATATGCCCCAGCAATCCGGGGGACCATGTGATAAGCTTCCAGGAACTGATTTAATCAGAAGTGTTATGTGCAATCCTGCACTGTTGCATAAGTGACAATTGCATGCCCTACCTGTCCCCCCCTCCCCACGAAGTGGCAGCATGGAGATGGCCCCACTGTGACCAGGCCAATGAGAACAGGCGCCTAGGAGCACAGATGACAAAGGACAAGTTTGAGAAAAACTGGTTCTCAGGCCTCCTTGGTGGCACAAGAGGTTAAGCACGGTGCTGTGAAGCTATCCGTGGCCTCTGCAGCACCAGTTTGATCCCCGGCGGCCAGGAAGTAACCCACAAGGTGCAGCAGACCTCTCCTGTTGTGCCCGCTGCTCCCCTCAGCAGTGTACTTCAGTCAATCTGCCTGTTCTGCTCCCCACTCTGTCTCTGGTGAATCCTCTCACTTCCCTGTCCCCCAGTTCTTGTATGCATAAATAAATAAATCCTAAAAAAACAAACCTAGTTCTCTGAGTACCATGGTGGAAAAAGGAGGCAGTCTACCAGCACTCCCTCCATATCATAATGAGCGATAGAAATCAACTCCTGTGTTCCTTAAGCCATTGTACTACTGGGTCTTTCTGTCATGGCAATTTATTTTTTTTTAATTTTTTTTAAAGATTTATTTATGCATACAAGAGCTGGGGTAAAGGCCAGAGATGCAGCGGGATGAAAGGCTTCACCAGAGACAGAGTGGGGAACAGAACAGGCAGAATAACTGAAATACACTGCTGAGGGGAGCAGCGGGTGAGACAGGAGAGATCTGCTGCACCATGTGGGTTGCTCCCTGGCCATCCAGGGATTGAACTTGTGCTGCAGAGGCTGCGGATTGCTTCACAGTGCTGCTTCACAGTGCGGTGCTTTACCCCTTGCGCCAGCAGGGAGGCCTTGTCATGGCAATTTATTAGGTACTCTTTAAATGATATAGGACTTACACTCTTCCAACTTATCCAATGTTTGATTCTTCTGCATTCTCCAAAAAGCAACCAGGATGAAATTTTCAAAAGAAAACGTTAACATGAAGTCCTTGAAACCTGTTAATGGAATAGCCTTGCTCTTATAACAAAGGCTAGTATTTTTTAAAGATTTATTTATTTATTCATACAAGAACTGGGGTGTAAGCCAGAGGTGCAGGTGGTGAGAGGATTCACCAGAGAGAGTGGGGAGCAGAACAGGCAGATCTACTGAAATACACTGCTGAGAGGAGCAACGGGGAGGCAGGAGAGGTCTCCACGTGGATTGCTCCCTGGCCCAGGGATCAAAATCTGGCTGTCAATGGCTTGATAGTGCTGTTTTTAACCCCTGTGCCACCAGGGAGGCCCCGAAGGCTAGTATTTTTTAACTCAATGTGAGACCTGCATGCTCCAACACTTGTTTCCCTCTCCAATCTCATCTCACACACGTTTTCACTTACTCTCTAAGCAACAACCAAAGTGGATGTCTTTCAGAGACTCCAGTAAGTAATTCTCCAAATTGAAAAGAACTGGCACAGACTTTTAACTGCATCTTGGTTAATGCCTACTCCATCTCTAGATTTCACCTTCAACTTAACTTTCTCAGAGCCTTTCTTGCTGCCTTTTTTTCCCACCCCTAGTTCTCTAAGACACATGGTCTCTTCTAGTGGGTCCTGTTACGTGGTTTGTAACCATATACTTATCCGCATGATTATTTCATAAATGTATGTCTGCCCTCCTGAACGTAAATTCCATGCTAGGGTCTTTCTTTTTAACTCGCCAATGACAATCCCAAGTATCTAACATAGTAAGCATTTCATAAATTGTTGACTGTATGGTATAATCAAGTACTCTGCACAAAAGAATTACTGCTCACATTTTAAGAAATAGATTCAAAACTCAGATTTTAAATACTCGTTGAAGGCTGTGTGCTAACAAATAGATTATTGAGGGGTGCTGACATATTATCTTCAAACTCAGAGGTCAAACATAGGAAAAGGAGCTTCTGTGGACAGTGTTCTGTAATTATTTCAGGGAAAACAGATTTCAGAAAATTACCTCAACCTTCAGAGAGCTATTGTCACATACATAGCTAGAACTAAGGTGACAAGAGTCACCTTAGTGTTGGTAAATATCTAAGTTTTTGTGGAAATCCCAACTGAAAAGTTACATATTTTTTTAGCAATGGCCGTATTTTTAATAGTGAAACTGAAAGCTATCATTTTTCAAAGTGCAAAGTCCAAAGTCTTGACAAACAATGAAAGTGAATAGCTCTTGTGGCAATATTCCTCACCTGAGCAGAAGGAAAAAAGCCCTTAGTGCCCTTTTCTAAAAGACCAAGGAAAAAGCCACCATGGGAACCAGCAAGGAGGCAGGATAAAAAGGTAACTAGAGTAGCTGCTCATTCAAAAAGTAAATAAGTAGAAACTGAAATTTCCTGAAACACTAGTTATATCCTCACCTTCAAATCAATGTGTACTTTTATGTAAGTTTTGGTATCGTTACTCTCTAAATCAATAGGTTTTTAAAAATTGAACATAGTTGGGCCTCCCCGGTGGCGCAGCGGTTGAGCGCTGGGTTGCGAAGCTGCCCGTGGCCTCTGCAGCGCCGGTTCGATCCCCGGCTGCTCCCCGGCCACCGGAGGAGGGTCCCGCATGGTGCGCAGACCTCTCCTGCCGCCCGCTGCTCCCCTCAGCAGTGTGCTTCGGTCCTTCTGCCTGTTCTGCTCCCCACTCTGGCTCTGGTGAATTCTCTCGCCCTCCCGCGCTTCTGACTGTACCCAGTGCTTGTATGTATAAATAAATAAAATAAATCTTTAAAAAAAAAATTGAACATAGTTTCATCTCCATTGGGGTTCACCAAAGAATAATTATGAAAAGGGGAAGCCAGCTCACCATATGGATAGGGAAATTCCTACCTCAGCATTTTCAGCAGTCACCCCGTGTATCTCATTCCCTTCTGGCAGCCTGAGCTGCAGATCATTTAAGCACGTCTAGCTATCCAGTGGACACTGCCCTTGAAAACCACTTCTTTGAAAGAAGGTGAGAACGAGCTAGCTTATTACACATTGCAAACAACGGAAGAAAAATTAATCATACCTACCTTGCTTAAAGATTTGCTGAGGTTTTTAGGATCCAACTGTAGGATATTTCCAAGGATTGGAAGAGGGGTTGGGCCAGGCGGCAGTCTTCCTGGAGTATTGTTTCGATTCCATAGAAAAAGAAGAATGAAACAAGAAAGACAAATCACCAGGACTGTGAAGAGAGCCATTGTTATGTGTTACATAGGCAATCGAGAGTTTCCAATCCAAATATTTTATCAGCGCTAAATATAATCTGGTCAAAGACTTTGAACTCTTAGATAAATATTATAATTTTACCTTCAGTGTACTTTCACCTATTGGTGCAATGACAACAAAAAAGAAAACAAGAGTGACAAAGAGACAAGAGTCACCTTAATGTTGGTAAATATCTAAGTTTTTGTGGAAAAGTTACTTATTTCTTTAGCGATGGCCATATTTTAAATAGTGAAACAGGGCCTCCCCGGTGGCGCAGCGGTTGAGCGCTGGGTTGCGAAGCTGCCCTCAGCCTCTGCGGCGCCGGTTCGATCCCCAGCTGCTCCCCGACCACCGGAGAAGGGTCCCACATGGTGCGCAGACCTCTCCTGCCGCCTGCTGCTCCCCTCAGCAGTGTACTTCGGTCCTTCTGCCTGCTCTGCTCCCCGCTCTGGCTCTGGTGAATTCTCTCACTCTCCCGCGCTTCTGACTGTACCCAGTACATGTATAAACAAAACAAACAAACAAACAAACAAATAAATAAAACATGCCTCTATAAAAAAATAAATAAATAAATAAATAAATAAATAAATAAATAGTGAAACAGAATCTATCGTTTTCAAAGTCCAAAGTCCAAAGTCTTGACAAATAATGAAAGGGAATAGCTCTTGTGGCAATATTCATCACCTGAGCAGAAGGAAAAAAGCTCTTAGTGCCCTTTCCATAAACAAATAAATAAATAAATAAATAAACAGACAAACAAACAAACAAATAAATAAATAAATAAAAAGACCTAGGAAAACACCACAATGGGAAGCAGCAACGAGGCAGGATGAAAAAGAAGCGCACAGGGAGCTAGTCTATTTCAGAGAAAAAAGGAGACATTCCGATTCTCCCAGCACAGTGCTTTTCCAAATGTTTTGACACCAATTATCCCCAAAGAGAATGCAGGATCAAGAGACAGTAAACTGAAGACGGGGCTCTACCTAGCCCAGCAGTGAAATCATTCAAACACAGCAGCTGAATGTTCCACTTGTCATCAAGAAAATGCAAATCAAAAGCCAGAAGAGACATCACCTCACACCTGTGAGAACAGCCCATATTAAAAGACCTAGAAATAACAAATGTTGGGGAGGGTGTGGGGGAAAAGGAACCCTTAGGGCCTCCCTGCTGGCACAGGGGTTAAAATCTTAGCGCTATCAAGCTATTGCCAGCCACTGCAGTACAAGCTTGGACCTCAGCCACCAGGAAGCAACCCACAGAGTGCAGCAAACCACTCCTGTCTTGTCCACTGCTCCCCTCAGCAGTGTATTTCAGCAGATCTGCCTGTTGTGCTCCCCACTCTCTCTAGTGAATCCTCTCACCTCCCACACCTCTGGTCTACACCCCAGTTCTTGTATGCATAAATACATAAATCTTTAAAGAAAACAACAGGAACACTTATTCACTATTGGTGGGAATGTAGAGTGGTCCAGCCCCTGTGGAGAGCAATATGGATGTTTCTCAAAATGTTAAAAATGATCTACCATATGATCTAGCCATTCTACTCCTACTGAAAGAATACAATCAATCAATCAATAATTCATAGGGATTTGTGCACTCCTATGTTCACTGTAACACTATTTATAAAAGTCTAGCTCTGGAAACAACCTCAGTGCCCACTGACAGATGAGTGGGTAAAGATGTAGTCTATATGGGCAATAGAAAACTACTCAACCAGGGGCCTCCCTGGTGGCGCCAGGGGTTAAGACACAACCTATGAAGCTGTTTTCAGCCTCTGCAGCATGAGTTTGATCCCCAGCCAGCCAAGGAGCTACCCACACGGCACAGCAGACCTCTCCTGACACCCGCTGCTCCCCTCAGCAGTATACTTCGTTCAATCTGCCTGTTCTGCTCCCCACTCTATCTCTGGTGAATCCTCTCACCTCCCACACCTCTGCCTGTGCCCCAGCTCTTGTATGCATAAATAAATCAATCTTTAAAAAAAAAAAAAGAAAACTACTCAACCACACATGTATATGAAGGATGAAATTTTGCTATTCATGACACCATGGATGGAACTGGGGGGGTGTTATGTTAAGCAAAATAAGTCAGAAAGAGAAAAACAAATACCAGATGATTTCACTTATAGGTGGAATATAAAGGGCATATCATCTGCAAATGATGTTAATTTTACTTCTTTCCCAATTTGCATACCTTTTATGTCTTTCTCCTGCCTAATTGCCCTAGCAAGGACTTCTAGTTCTATATTGGAAAGCAGTGGTGAAAGTGAACTTTCTTGTCTTGTTGCAGACCTTAATGGGAAGGCTTTCAGTTTGTCATCATTGAGAATGATGTTAGCTGTGGGTTTGTGATAGGTGGCTTTTATTATATAACGTCCCTTTTATCCTGAATTGTTTGAGTGCCTTCATCACAATGGATATTAGACTCCAGCAAATGATTTTTCAGTATCTATTGATATGCTCACCTGATTTTTGTTTTTGTTGATGTGAATTAATTGATTTTGGGATGCTGAGCCTTCTTTGTACCCCTGGAATAAATCCCACTTGGTCATGGTGTGTAATCCTTCTGATGCATTGTTGGATTCACTTTGCTAAGATTTTATTGAGGATTTTTGCGCCTGCGTTCATTAGGTGGCTTGGTCTGTAGTTTTCTTTTTGTGTGTTGTCTGTCTTTGGTTTCAGTATTAATGTAATGTTAGCTTTGTGAAATGTATTTGGTGATATTCATTCTTTCTCAATTTTTTCATAGAGGTTTTGTAGGATAGGCATTTGTAGGATAGTTCACTTTTGAACATTTGATGGAACATGTTTGTGAAACCATCTGATCCTGGGCTTTTGTTTTTTGGAAGGATATTGATTACTGGTTCAGTTTCACTGCTTGAAACTAGTTTGTTTTTTAAGGTTTCTATTTCTTCTTTTCCAGCTTTGGGTTCTTGTATAATTCTAAGAATTTTTCCATCTCATCTAGCTTGTTGAACTTATTTGCATATAAATGTTCATATCAATCTCTGATTATCCTGTGAATTTGTGCTCTATCTGTTGTAATTTCTTCTTTTTCATTTATGAGCCTATTAATTTAAATGTTCTTCCTTTCTTTCTTTGTGAGCCTTGCTAGAGGTTTGTCTATTTTGTTTAATTTTTTGATAACCAACTTTTGGTTTCATTGATCTTTTGGATTGTCTTCTTTATTTTTATTTCATTTATTTCTGCTTTAATTTTTAATGTTTCCTTTCTTCCACTGGCTTTTGGATTTTTTTTTTGGTTATTCTTCCTCTAGTTCCTTGAGATGAGAGAGTAGGTTGTTTTGGGGGTTCTTTCTTACCTGTATTGCCTGTATTGCCTGTATTGGTGTGGGCCTATATTGCTATATACTTTCCTTTTAATACTGCTTTTCGTGTATCTCATATATTCTGGAAAGTTGTGTTCTCATTGTCATTTGTCTCAAGGTATTTTTTAATTTATTCCTTGATTTCCTCATTATCCCAATGGTCTTTCAGTAATTTGTTGTTCAGTCTCCTTGTAATAGGGGAGGTCCTTGATTTCTTTTTAGTTGATTTGTAGTTTGATGCCTTTAATAGTCAGAGAAGATACTTGGCATGATTTCAGTCTACACGTACTTGTTGATGTTTGTCTTGTGACTCAGTGTATGGTCAATCCTACTTGAGAAAAATGTGTATTTGAAAAATCACTATTAGATTTTTAAATGAAGTGCCTAGAATTTTAAGTGTTTCATAAAAACACTTTCCTTCATTCAGAAATAATTCTTATTTGTAGGATTCTGTGAAATTTTTGAAGCATTTTTTAAATATGTTTTTATTTATTTATGCACATAAGAACTAGGGTTTTGGCCAGAGGTTCAGGGGATGGGAGGGTTCACCGAGACAGAGTGGGGAGCAGAACAGGCGAATCTACTGAAATACACTGCTGAGGGGAGCAGCAGGTAAGAGAGAAGAGGTCTGCTGCACCTTTTGTGTTAGCTCCCTAGCTGGGGATTGAACTCATGATGCAGTGGCTGCAGATAGTTTGATGGAGTTGAGACTTTAACCACCTGCACCATGAGGGAGGCCCAAATTTATGAAGCATTTTGTGAATCTTATTATTTCACTCTCATAATTAAACCACCAAATTATTTTTATCTATTCTGCTGATGAAGAGACTCAGAACTGAAGGGATGTGCCCAAATTCCCACTATTGAGACAGGTAAAGAATTCTGGTTTTATAACTTGTGAACTCGGCAACAGAATAAACCCAATTCAGTTACATTCAAACATTGATTGAGTCATTCTTAGGTATCTTGCAGTTCCTCTTTGCTGTTAAACGATTAATTTAAGCAGTTACCTGAGTGGATCATTTCACCATGGACAAACACAAATGAGAGTTCAGAAAAGTTTGTCCCTTTGTAATTTTTAGAAGTTCCAGAAATAGGAATTCAAAGAAATTGACCAAGGAAATATTAATTATTAACCTTAAAACTATCCCTGATGCATACTGCCTTAGGACATTTCTTTTCCAGGAAGCACAGATTTTAAAACAATCATATATAATACATATGCTATATGACATATTACCTATATAACTCTTTCCCTGTCTGTCTGTCTCTTTCAATCCCTTTGCCTGAGAAACTTGCGTCTTAGTTCTGACTACATGACTTTTCAGGGATTTTGTTTGTCTGATCATTTTACTCTTCATAGAAGGAAGAAAACAGGAATAATTGAGCTGGTATAGATCTTAAAATCATCTAATGACATTCTTTATGTCCTTATTTCAGGAGCAATGTAATAATGGTTCAGAGAAGGAAAGATGTTTGCATGTTGTCACACAGGAGTTTAATATCAGAGCTGTAAGTTGAATGATCTTTGTTTCCTCAAGTATAAGATTGTTTTAATCACCTGATTCTGAAGAATTTTTTTATTTTTAAATTTTCTTACACTGTTGATCATTTTGGTACAGTATTTGGTTTCTCCCCTCACCAAATCACCTGTGAATTTTCACTGTATCTCATGCTCTTCCTTCCCCTATTTTCACCCCTCCCTCTCCCCTGCTATATGTCTCAGCTCTATAAGTTTGCTTGATAGTTCTCTCTTTTTTTCTGACCCTTCCTCTGGTTTCTCCATATATGCCCTTTAAGTGAAACCATCTGATATTTTTCTTTTTCTTTCTGACTTATTTCACTGAGCATAATCCCTTCCAGCTCCATCCATGTTGCTGCAAATGGCATGAGTTTATCATTTTTGATTGATGAGTATTATTATTTTATTAAAATTTTTTGTTTTTTTATTTTCCATATGTGCACATGTTCCACTCACCCTTCATCAAATCACCTGTGCCTACGCCCCACTGCCTCCTCCCCAATTCTGGTGACTCTGATACCACAGGGGCTTCCAGATCATCTGCCAAAGCGGAGGGGTCACTGGCACCAGAGCCTTGACCTGCTGCAGAGCATTCTCTGCTCTGGGCCTCATCAAATCTGTGTCTTTGCATCACTCAGTATAGGAATTGGCACCTTGTTCTCAGATGTGGATATGCTGTGTCCACAACCCTAAAAAGTCTTCAAGGTGAGAGTGTAAGATAAAATAATTTGTCTTTCCCTGATCCTCTGCATCTATTGAATCAGTGATCAGCAGAATCTTGATACCACACATCTGGCGCAGCTGCTGTTATTGCTGCTGCTTCTTCATGAAATTTTTGAGAATTTACGGTCATGCTCCAGGGCACATTGGAGTTCACAGGGGCTAGACTGGAGGATTTTAAAAAGGAGTTATTATGGAGGACCACCTCTTTATTCTTTAGTATCTTCAGAGTGGCCATAATTACACCATCCGAGTCTCCTCCCTTCCCCTCAAATATGCCACTGTTGGGGAACGGTATATATTTATTTAGTATATGGAAGGGATAGAAGTTTCCCACCTGGGAATCACAGCTCTGTTCTCACTGCAGCTTCTATAGGGAATGAGGAACTCTAAAGCCAGGTCCAGGGCTCTTTCTACTCTGCATGACCAGCACTGCATGTGGCCACTCGGGAGAAGGGAATAGCATGAGCAATAAAGAAGAGGGCTGATAGCTTGGTTGGCGGCACCCCGGGACCTGGACAAGTCAACCTTTGGGTCCTGTCTACAGGTGGATTGGGGTAGCGTAATCCACCACCCACTGCAGCAACCTGCAAGCCCCCCAAGATCAGGTACCTGACTCTGTTGAAAGTTTCTCCATCTGTCCTCCCTGTCTTCACTTACTCTGAGCATTCAAACCTGTGGCTGAAACCCTCCAGCCCCAGAGCCCCTGTCCTTTCCCTTCTCTCTGCTTGGAACGATCCCTCCCCAGTAGTCCAGGTCCTCACAAGGCACTCAGGTCTCAGTGCAGATGCCACTCCTCAGTTACTCCCTGACCCTCCCCTTAAAACAGCCCACCCATCCCTGTGGCAGGCTGTGCCTCCCATGCTGTCTCTTGACATGGTCCAGGCATTGGGGGAGACTCCTGAGAAGCGGGGAGTTCCTGTGTTCCCCCGAAGAGGGAAAGTTGTACTTCCCAGAAGAGGGGAGTTCTTGCACTTCCCAAAGAAGATCTGAACTAGGGAGTCTCCATGGCAATGCCTGCTAAAGCTCTTCTCTTTGTTCTTGGTTAATGCAGAAGTTAGTCAGTTATTAATTGGCATATGAAAACCCAATTCGGACCTAGACATTAATTGATTTGTTATTCTTACACCTGAATTAGTATCAAAGAAAGTAAATAATGCAAAAGGTATAGCTATGAAAGAAATGTTCTGGCCCTGAGAACTATGCAGAACAAGCTGCCCTGAACCAACTGTGCTTGGAAGCCATAGCCTGACACGGGGAGAAGGGGGGGCGTGTGCATGTTTGCACCAGCAGTACATTTCCTGGTGTTTGCAAGAGGTCAATAATTCGCAGGTCGTGTGGAGGTTAGGAATTTCTAGTTAAGAGTTAGACTTCAGTAGAACTTACATAGATTTGATGAGTTGTTTTAGACCACTTTAAAGTAATTAATATATTAGCCAAGTTAATTGAGTGCTAGGAGATAGATTGATTTTAGTAATTGAATATAGAATAGAAATTTTACACCCACTTTTGTAATTGGGAAAGTTTAATTGTTGCCAAATGTTGCGCTGTCTTTTTTTTTTTTTTTTTATAGAGGCATGTTTTATTTATTTATTTGTTTGTTTGTTTGTTTGTTTTGTTTATACATGCACTGGGTACAGTCAGAAGCGCGGGAGGTAAGAGAATTCACCAGAGCCAGAGCAGGGAGCAGAGCAGGCAGAAGGACCAAAGTACACTGCTGAGGGGAGCAGCAGGCAGCAGGAGAGGTCTGCGCGCCATGTGAGACCCTCCTCTGGTGGCGGGGAGCAGCCGGGGATCGAACCGGCGCCGCAGAGGCTGAGGGCAGCTTCGCAACCCAGCGCTCAACCGCTGCGCCACCGGGGAGGCCTGTTGCGCTGTCTTGTATGATTGATTATGTTAGTAAATGAGCTGTACCTAGGAAACTAATTGTTCTTAGGTTACCAAAGAAATGGCGTACAGGTGTAAAGCCAAGGGAGTCTTTACATGATCATGAGAAAATATGTATTGATTGTCTTTGCTCTGTTTCAATGCTTATGCTGATGTAATCCCACCGTTCGCCTTAAGGTATAAATAAAGACCCACTGAGACCCTCAGTAGGAGATACTTGCACGAAATAAGGTGTCTGTGTCTACCTCACTCCTACCTCGCTCCACTTCCCCTCAGCCCTCCGAGAGAGAAAAGATTTCACTGACTCCGACCTCTCCTTTCTGAGATCCCTGACACGACTTCTAGCTGGAGCTGGTCTCCAGTAGGTGGTGCCCGAACAGGGACCGGGAAGGTAAGTTTCTTTACGTTTTGGGGACGGAGAGGCTTCTGCTTACAAGGTAGAGTATGTACCGGGGCAGCAATTCAGAACGGGTAAATCTAGTGGGTGTCTTATCCATTGAGAAGTTATGGGCCATACTGAGTCTAAGGAAAGAGGACTCTGTATTGATATGATTAAGCATACTCTTGCCAAGAGAGGCATTAAAACCTCTCATGCACAATTTGCTAACTTTTTAAATTTTGTTGAAATGTGTTGTCCTTGGTTTCCAAGGGATGGAACTCTGGATGCAAGAACTTGGACCAGAGTGGGAGAGGAAATGACGACCTATTATACTCTCCATGGACCCAAGAAGGTCCCCATAGATGCATTTTCACTGTGGGGGCTGCTACAGAACATGTTAGATCAAGGGTCTGAATTGGAAAAAACAACTCATCAAATCTATGTAAGTTCTACTGAAGTCTAACTCTTAACTAGAAATTCCTAACCTCCACACAGCCTGCGAACTATTGACCTCTTGCAAATACCAGGAAATATACTGCTGGTGCAAACATGCACAACACCCCACCCCACACCCACCCCCACCCCCCTCACCCCCCGCCCCGTGTCAGGCTATGGCTTCCAAGCACCGTTGGTTCAGGGCAGCTTGTTCTCCATAGTTCTCAGGTCCAGAACATTTCTTTCATAGCTATACCTTTTGCATTATTTACTTTCTTTGATACTAATTCAGGTGTAAGAATAACAAATCAATTAATGTCTAGGTCCGAATTGGGTTTTCATATGCCAATTAATGACTGACTAACTTCTGCATTAACCAAGAACAAAGAGAAGAGCTTAGCAGGCATTGCCATGGAGACTCCCTAGTTCAGATCTTCTTTGGGAAGTGTAAGAACTCCCCTCTTCTGGGAAGTACAACTTTCCCTCTTTGGGGGAGCACAGGAACTCCCCGCTTCTCGGGAGTCTCCCCCTATGCCCGGACCATGTCAAGAGGCAGCATGGGAGGCGCAGCCTGCCACACATCCCTCACCACCCGCCTCTTCCACTGCACATTTCTCTGTGTTTCTTACCTTCTCACCATGGTAGTGTTTGCATTTATTCTTAGCTGTCTCCACAACTTGAAGCTAAGCCCTGTGAGGTAGGGAACTTGCTGGGTCTTGCTCACCATTGCATGCCTGCCCTGGAACAGTGCCCAGCCTGGCCCAAGCTCAGCAGGCCTCAGGGAGGTGAATCAAGATTGCTAGGTGGTCAAGTCCCTCTCTCCCACTTGCTGCATCCTCCCTTGCTGCTGTGGGTTTTAGGGCAGGGGTTTCTGAGGGTTAGGCCAGCCCAGCTTCCTGGTCCCAGATAGCCTCTTGCCTCAGGCTGGGCTGCTTTTTCAGAAGTCAGGTCGTTGGAGAGAAAAAAACAAATGTGGTGCTATTTATCAACGTGGAGGGACAGATTTGTATATAAAGAGGTTACAAGTTGTGGGTGACAAAACTTCATGCTATCCAACCTGCTAGGCTGCCTCTCAGGTCTAAGGATGCATCAGTGGCCTATTAGCAAATCTAACTATTTTATCTTTAGGGATAAAGCCCTAAAGATGAACAGATGCACTACACCAATTGTGTTTGCTCCCTCACTTCCCACCTATTGTGTCATCATTTCACATTCCATTTTAGAAAGGAAATTAAGATATGTTTCCCTCGCAGCTCCCACAAACCCCAATGAATCGGAGGCCGAGCCTGGCATTATGGGACATGTGGACGGCTCCAGGCAAAAGAGCGGCGTAGGTGAAGGTCACAAGGCCACGGAGGATGGAGGATGGCCTGCTCCGTGGCTCTGGAACCTGAGCCAGCTCGACACCCTCATGAAGGCAGGAAGGAAGACACTAGGGGCCAGGGTGAGTTGGGAGACCCAAAAGAAAAGGCTAAGCATGTGCTACCCCTGGGGTGGGGTCAGGGGTGGAAGGAAATTGACTAGAAAGGCGCATAAGGAAAGTTTATTATGAGGGTGATGGAAATATTCTATATCTTGACTGAGTTGTACACAATGACCAATACTCAAAGAAAAAGGCATGAATTTTATTGCTTATAATTATACTTCAATTAAGAAATTTTTATTGAAAGAACATCGGTTTATAACATCATACAGGTTCTAGGTATACAACACTTTAGTTTGACATCTGTATATGCTACATTATGCACCGAAAGTCTATTTCCACGCACCACGATAGAGTCGAGCCCCTTTCCCGACTTCCACGTCCCATCCTCCTAACACTCTGGCAGCCACCATTTTGTTCTCAATGTAAGAGCTGGTTTTGTTTTGCTTTGTTCGTACACTTGTATTTAAAAAATTATTCCAGTGCACACCAACAGTGAAATGAATTGCAGTATTGTAGCCAAATTACCCCCAAGTATGGCAAAGCCAGTGTTCTAGAAAACTTGCCTCTTAAAATGTGATTCATGGACCAGTATCATCAGCATTGGGACCTTTCCAGGACACGGTGTCTCAGGCCTCATGCATCCAAATCTGCATCTTAACAGGGTTCCCAAGGTGATGCCCATAGTCATGTAAGATTGCTCTAGAAGTCTTGAAAAATTCCTTTTATAACCAGGATTCTTTAACTAGGCCATGGGGAAAGTAGTTACTATTGTTCCTAAAACAAAGAATGTTTAGTGCTCCAATGTATCCTCCCAAATCGCATGTATTGCTACAAGAGGCTGTTTCAGTTTAGCAAATGTCATTTAAGAACTGTGTCTAAAAAGCACCTTTGCTTTCTGCTTAATGCCTGTTAGTGAAATCCAGTCCCTAATATTGCCCATGAGGTAAGAGAACTGTGGATGGCTGCCACCCTCACCAATGTTTTCTCACTACAAGAGGGAGGGAGGACACCTCTCCCTCATAAGCCTTGATCGCCCAGCCTCCGTGGCTCTGGCAGGCATGCTCCCCGGAGCTACCCTCTTCAACTTGGGGAAACTCAGCCTAGCCATCTGCCATGCAGCCTAAAGAGGACACACTCAGTAGTAATTGAGGCCACGGGCATCTATTATTCAGAAATCATTCCTTTGCTCTGATAAGCCTCAGAACAGCCAGATAGAAAGAAAACTTCATTTCAACATAACTACGTATCCTATATTAGCATCAGAGGGAGCTCATTTGGAGCAAACTTCAAAGAAGTAAAAGAATATGGCTTGTTCTGTCACCAGTGTTCTCACTGTTGGAGAAAAGGCTTGCAAATCTCCGAGCAATGGAAAACCCTTGCAAGAGGGGGGCCTCTTGAGATAGGAAATAGGACTTGTGACCAAATGATATGCAGACACCGTGCTGCCTTGCAGTCCATACATTTATTGAGTAAAAACAAAATCAAGATCAGACATTGAATTCAGTTGGGTTCATTGGGCTGGTGTCCATCTGCAGAAGAGATGAATCGAGGTAAAGACGCGGTGTTGCTGGCAGGACACTGAACACAACCTTCCATTCCTTGTCAAAGCAGGCATCGCACGGCCAGTGGGAGTCGGTTAGCAAAGGCAGGGGGACGTGGCCTTTAACAGGGAGGGATAAGTACGAACCTTCCAGAGAGGACAGAGCGTCAGAGAGCAAGGTGAGTCGGGAGGACAGTGCTCGGTGACCCTGGCTCACTTGGGGAACACGGTGACCACATCATAGCCCTCTGGAGGCGTGACCCGCTCCCGGGCGTGCTTTTCACAGTAAATTTGATCCTCCACAAAGAAGTGGCCCTTCTGTTTCAGGTTGATGCCACAGTCGGTGCACACGTAACACTCAGGGTGGCGGTGACGTTCCCGCAGCTTCACAAACACACCCCTGCAGGAGGGAGGGAGAGGAGGCTCCATAAGAGACAAGCACCTCAGGGTGGCACCAAGCTCTTCCCAGGAGGCCCCAAAGGGCAGATGGAGCATCCCAAACGGCCTTCAGTCACAAAGGGGCTGCACATCCCTGGGGTCCAGAGACTGCCCCTGAAGCCCTCCAGGAACCCCTCCCGCCTCCACACAACAGCCCTGCTGTTTCTGGGTCACATGCTCCTCATCTAAGGGTACCACGGCGAGGGACGCCTTCAGCACCTGGCTCTGGTTTGCCAGCACTTTCCCTCTCATAGCTATCACGTGCAACATCCGGCACTTTCCAGTTTCACGCTTCGCCCCAGGTCTGAGGGGCAGGTACTCACACGATGCCGGTGCCACATTTGTCACACAAGGGCAGCTTCTGGGCATTTCCAATTGATGCAGCTACTTTGGTGACCGGAGCCTTGACACTTCTGAATCCTGATGGCTTGTTAGGATCCCCTAAAATGAGGAAAACACATGGGTTGCTCAGCAAGGTTGTGACTACAAATGTGACTGCTCTGTGTGACACCAGTTTTTAACCTCTCTGGTCTCCAGTTTTCTTGTCTATAAAGCAGAACTTTATTTTTCCCCTCATAGTGCCACAGAAAGATTTTTAAAGTATATATAAAACTTCCCATTGTACCTGTAATATGGTCAGCTCTCAAAACACAAATTATATTACATTTGAGGACATAGAAGCAAACATGGGAAGCTAAAATGCCTCACGTGGGCTAAATGAATGAGTAAATGAATGAATGAACATTTTACTTTATTAATAAAAAGCATTATCAAAAAATAATGGGGCAGTCTCTCTGAATTCACGATTTCTCTCTCAGATCACAAGGAGAACATGCTACTAGCAGCCAGATGAAAATCACCTGCCACCCAACAGAATAAGGAGCCTTTCTGCAGGCAGCTTTTTGCAGATAAAACAAGCTCCTGCTGCTGGATGTGGAACGGCCACAGCTCAGCTCATCACAGCTTCAGAAGCCTGAGCCAGGTAGCTATTGATGGCGGTAAGCTGTTAATAGCACTAGTACTGAAACTGGAGACCACCCTCTCACCCCTCGGGGCTCCGATCCTAGAAGCTGCTTTCAGGCAGTGCAAGTGGCAGTGGGTGGCGGGCCTTTTACCACCTGCGACCAGTGGCCAGCCATAGTGGTGATGATGGCAGTGGTTCCCCCACCACGCGGCCCCTGGTCCAGTGCAGCAGCGAGGAGCATGGGGCCCCGCCGGGCTAGTTCCGGTGCTGTGGCTCCCTCCAGCTGCAGCAGTAGAGAGCCCATGGATTTGGTGCCTGCCTCATAGACTCGACGGATCAGGTGTGAGCTGTGAGCTAAATGGTGAATGGTCCAATCAGCCAAAGGATTGAAAGCAGGCCAATCAGACTTGTAGATACAAGGCCGGGCAGGAGCCAGCTTGGACGCTCAGACTCCCGCTGACTCGGACTCTGTTCCTGACCTCCAAAGAAGAAAGACGCATCATCCCGCAGGGAATCTCTAAAGGAAGAAGAGAAGCCAAGGAGCTCTGCTGAGGCCAGGCCTGGCCCTCCCTGCCTCTGGTCTGCCTCTGGTACTGCCTGAAAGGAGCACCCAAAGCCCCAGGACTGGCGTCTCAAAGAGCTGTAATGCCAGAGCCCAGACCTTCAGACTGTTGCTGTGGCTGCTGCAGCGTCATCTCAGCAGGTCCTGCCTGTGAGCGTCTCCACTGCGGTGAGTTGGGGCCTAGCCTGCTGCTTGCTGGTGTTCCAGAAGCTTCAGGCTGTTAGTGGGCCAGTGCCATCTTGGATGCGTGGCCTTTTGTTTAGGGCTTCTGGGCGCCATGGACCCTCTAGGGTGAGCTAGCCAGACACTGTGGTCTTGAAAACTCCTTGTTTCCATTGTTTAAGTAAACCCCATGGTTAATGTTCCCTGAGCCTCCGCGATCTTGCAATTGTGCATGCAGGTGAGAACCCACAGATGGTAACCTGTCCTCTAGGGGGCACTGTCCCTTTGAGACCACAGCACCCCTCTAGCTCTGCTTCAGTATTGCTGTATTTATTATGTATTTGTCTGTGTTTCCACATTATTTTTTTACTGTGATGTCACCAAAAAGTATTGCTGTTTGTCAATTATTTACACATCTCTCCATCTGGACTACAAATAATTTGAGTACCAGAACCCTGTGTATAAGACAGGGTTCAATTCTCCACAGAACCTATAGCAAATAACAGCTCACTAAATGACAGAAATGCATGATGAAATGTCAAAGCAAAGCCAGCATGGTTCCCTACCTTGTTTCGACATGCTTTTTTTTTTTTTTAAAAGATTTATTTATGCATACAAGAGCTGGGGTGCAGGCCAGAGATGCGGGGGTTGAGAGGATTCACCAAGGATGGAGTGGGGAGCAGAACAGGCAGATCCACTGAAATACACTGCTGAGGGGAGCAGAAGGCGAGACAGGACAGGTCTGCTGCGCCTTGTGGGTTATCACCCTGGCAGGGGATCGAACTATGTTGTAGTGGCTGAAGATAGCTTGATAGTGCTGCCTCATAACCATCTGTGCCACCAGGGAGGCCCTGGTCAAACATGCTTTGAGCCAAGAAGCTAGAGAACTCTCTATACCAGTGGTCCTCTGAGAACAGGGATTGCTGAGCCTCTCGGGCACCAAACTAGCTTTTGCAAAACGCACAAGCAAAGCTCCCCTACCCTCCACCCCACCCCCTCACCTGCTGAGCAAGTATCTCCAGGTGCAGGGAGATGGTTAAAACCCACTTCTTTAGACTAAAGCAGCCATTTTCAAAAATTACCATGCATTAAAAGCACCTGGAGGACTTGTTCAGATTACTGGGCCCACCCTCAGAATCTGATTTGATGGGCCAGGGTGGGGCCCGAGAAATTGCATTTCTAACCAGTTCTCAGGAGTTGTGCTGCTGAGGCTACTGGTCCAAGAACCACACTCTCAGAACACTGGACCAGAGCAACACAATGGCTTTATTTGGAAGGGAAGGGGGTGCACCTCACAAGTGCAGTCAGTTCTGAGGCTGACAAAGGCCCTGGCTGCTTTGTTCTTGAAGAAAATGATTTCCTGTATGTTAACTGGTACCTTTGAGCCAAATCTGGGATGTGCTCAAACAAGAGGAATGACGACCAGCAGGGTACCAGAGGCTACTTATCTCATCCACAGAATCTGTATCTTGCCCACCCTGACTGTGCTTCCTGTGGGGCAGTGATATCTGCTGGAGGCCATTTTGGCCCCTAGGGAACAGTGGTTTGTCACCACTGGAGATGAGTATTAGTAGTGGGTGAAGACCAGGGATGCTATTAAACACCCTAAAATGCACAGAACGGCCCCGCCACAAGTATTAACTGGCCTAAAGTGTCACCAGCACCAGGGCTCTGGGTGGAATGTATTTCCCCATTCCCCAGACTCTGGCTTTGGTTATCTGACTTGCTTTGGCAAACAGGATGTGAGCAGATGTCAGCCCCCTTGGGGCAAATGCACTAAGTGTAGTTGTGTGGTTTGGTCCTGTCCCTGAGAACTCTGTGCCCCAAGAGCAAAAGCCAGGGGAGATGCCCTCTGCTGGCCTTGGGGCGAGAGACTGGGGCCAGGTGCAGTCTTGCCAGAGCCCGAGTCACAGCCAACAGCAGGCCAGAGTATAGGAGCAGGAAATACCTCTGTCCTGCAGCCCATGGCTAAGACAAGGGGAGGGCAAGACTGGATGCTTGCTGCCTTGTGGAGAACAGACAGGGATGATTTCCAAGTGGCCTGGGATTTTTGAAGTTCTCAGTCTGGGCGTCTGTGGCACAGGGTCCCCCCTCGGGGCTGGGAACCTGATGAGCACAGAAGTCCATCTGACAACAGGTCAGAAAGGGCAGAGATTGGGGGTTGCCAGGGTTTCCACTGTTTCCAGTTGTGAGCCTACATACAGATGGAAGAGCTTGGTGCTGCTCCCACCTCAGGCCATTAGGTGAATCTGCGCTGGTCTTTGGTATTCCTTGGGCCCAGAGTACCCTTCCTGCGTCTACCAAACCTCTCTGCCCAATTTGAACATACCCCCAACTTTGTTCATTGCAGAATTTGCAGTAATTTGTTTTTGTTTTTGGGGGGACCCTCGCCGGTGGCCGGGGAATGAACCGGTGCTGCAGAGGCTGCAGGCAGTCTCGCAGCCCAGCGCTCAACCACTGAGCCACCAGGGGAGGCCCTGCAGTAATTTTTTAAAAAATCTATGTATTTATGCATACAAGAACTGGGGTGGGCTTCCCCTGGTGGTGCAGGCGGTTGAGCACCATGCTGTGAAGCTGTCCGCAGCCTCTGCAGTGCCGGTTCGATCCTGGCCGGCCAGCGAGGGTCCCACATGGCAAGCAGACTTCTCCTGTCTCGCCTGCCGCTCCCCTCAGCAGTGTATTTCATCAGTCTGCCTGTTCTGTTCCCCACTCTGTCTCTGGTGAATCCTCTCGCCCTCCTGTGCATCTGGACTGTACCCCGGTTCTTGTATAAATCTTTAAAAAAAAAAAAGAACTGGGGTGTAGGCCAGAGGTGTGGGGGGAGGGTGAGAGAATTCACCAGAGACAGAGTGGGGAGAACAGGCAGACTGACTGAAATTCACTGCTCAGGGGAGCAGCAGGAGAGACAGGAGAGGCCTGCTGCATGCACCATGTGGGTAGCTCCCTGGCCGGGGATTGAACTCATGTTGTAGGGCTGGTGACAGCTTCATAGTGGTGTGTCTTTAACCCCTGTGCCACCAGGGAGGCCCAGGATTTGCATTAATTTTGATTTTTTAAAGATTTTTATTTATGCATATAAAAAGCTGGGGTGCTAGTGAGATGTGGGGGGGGTTGAGGATTTTTCAGGGACAAAGTGGGGAGTAGAATAGGCAGACACACTGAAACACACTGCTGAGGGGAGCAGTGGGTGAGACAGGAGAGGTCTGCTGCACCAGGTATCACCTCCCTGGCCGTGAATAGCTTCATAGTGCTGAGCTTAGTTAGCCCTTTACACCACCAGGGAGGCTCAATTTTGATTTTTTGAAAAATATTGCATTAACATTTTTGTGTTGATTATTGACTTGTGTGTGTCCCCTTTTATTTTGTGCCCAAGGTGAAAAGTGGGCAGAGGTCAGGAGTGTGTGCTGAGAGTGGAAACTTGTGCAGCCCTGCAGCGCCACCTGCTGGACCACTTTTCCTCTCAATCCCAACACTACACGTTCAATGAAATTTCCCTTCTCCCCTCAAGTGGCTTGCAGTAAAAACATTAGTATATACAGAGTTGTAAACTAATGTAACTGCAATACAAAAAAATACACTTAAACTATTTTAAAATAACTACTCATGTCATATTTTTCTCTTTGAAAGTAAAATTTTAATTGAAAAAATTAGGTTCCTTCAGACCCAAGACAACGACAGAATTTTCCAAATTTCTTCTAGTGACCCTACATCTCAAAACTTTCTGGAAAAAAGTGAGATTTCAACATGGCTTTCTTCTATCAATTTAGGCTTGACCTTCCATGGCTCCACATTGTGTATGGAACCACTGCACCATCCGGGGACTCTCCTGGAAACCCAGGACCAGCCAAAAGGAAACTCTCTATTTCCTGGGCCTGTCTCCAGCTTTCTTCTCTTGGACTGTCTCATCCCACCATATTCTCAGTCCATGATGTCTCCCACCAAGTCTCCACTCATTAAGAGCCTCCTCCGATGGACAGACAGATAAACAAGGTGTTGTATTTAAGTATAACTTATTTATATTTATGTAAATATTTCATTTACACTCATTTAGTTTGAAAAAAGAAAATTCTGACTACTGCTACAACAGGGATGAAGCTGAAGACATTATGCTAAGTGAAATTACTGGCTAAAGGAGGAAAATAGTGTATGAGTCCATTCAAATGAACTATCTGAAGTGTTCCGATCCATTGACACAAAGTAGAATAGTGGCTGGGGAGTTGGGGCAAATGAGGACTTGGTGCTTAATGGGTACAGAGTTTATTTTGTGTGAGGAACAGTTCTGGAGATGGTTATAGAATGATGTGAATGTCTTCATCTCACTAAAGAGGAGACTTAAATGGTTAAGATGGTAACTTTTATGTTATATATATTTCATGACAAGCTTTTTAACATTTCCTTTTCCCTGCCAAGCTGGAATTTGATTCAGAGCAAGATGAAGTTTTAAGGAAGGCAGTACCTTTCTCCTCGTCCAGGGGCTGGATTTCATCCAAAATGAGTAGACCAATGGAGACTTATCACCTAACCCTGCAATCAGCCAGACCTCCTGCCAGGCCTTACTGACAGTACACCTGGGACAAAGACTTTCCCTAAGTATTTTATTTTATTTTATTTTTAGGATTTGGGCTGTGGAGCTTTTCTTAGTCTCTTCTGGCTTCTATTCAAAGCACAGGAATACATCTTCCATTTTCTCTCCAGAAATACTATTTTTATGTACACATATTCATATCCATACACATATCTACACATCTATATATGCATACATATATATTGCCAGAACACTACATCTATATTTTTTTATGATTGATTTATACAAGCACTGGGATATAGGCCAGAGGCATGGGAGGGTAAGAGAATTCACCAGGGACAACAAGAAGCAGAGCAACCCGAAAGCTGCTTTGGGGAGCAGCAGGCGAGGTCTGCCGTGCCATTTCCCTGGACCAAAAGCTTTTGGGGGGGCAGGGACTGAGGACTGCTGGAGGTGGCAGCGGTCTCCCTGGCTGGCCAGGAATCGAGCCGCCTGTGGATGGCTCTCTGGCAGGCCGGGAATCGAGCCAGTGTAGTTGAGGGCTGTGGGCCTTTGCTGCTGCGCTCGGCCCATAGCGCCACGGCAGGGGCCTTCTGCCCCTTGGGCCTTTAGGGCACCTATTGGTTTGCTGTTGATGAGCCCGGATCAGGTGGTGGCCCAGGTCGGGCATGGGGGACTGCGGGGCGGGGTGGCCGGGCAGGGGAGATTGTTGGGGGAAAATGGGGGTGGCCGAGCCGGCACCGTTGTGGGTCTGCTCGGCGCTGTTGCCTGTGGGTGTCTCCCATCGGGCTGGGGGTCCGGCTGGCCCGGGGTGGTCTTCTCCCAGGCCGGCTGGGAATCGAACCGGCACGGTGGAGGACTGTGGACGGCATCACGGTGCGCTCAGCCCACCGCGCCACCCGGGGGCCCCCCACCGCCTGAGGTTTTACACCAGCTATAAACCACCTATTAGTTCACCGTGATTAGCCCGGACACGAGCAGAAGCTAGCTCCTAGAGAGAAGAGCAACTTGCTGGAGATCTCACTGTAGGTCAGGGCAGATCTTGGGTGCAGTGCTCTTTCCACTATGCAGTTCTGCCCCAGGAACCTTCCTGAATGACAGTCACCCTCACCGAGCACTGTCACTGTGTGCCAAGGCAGTGCCATGATCATTTCATCTCAAGTAAAAACAGGTATTTGGGTTCCCACCTCTGAGAGCCTTCAGTATATGGTGGAGGTTTGGTGTTCATGCTATTTCATTCAGTGAAAATATAATGCATCTTAAGAGATAAGGGACCTTCTAGATTTTATGTCTCCTTGGTTTTTGTAGTAAAATCTTGATTTTCTTTGGGTCAAGAAGACATCAACTTGGGAGGAAGGGAGACTACACTCTTGCAACTAGATGTGGTTGTGTGACTAAACTTTGGTCACTGAATGTAAATTGATAACAGTATGGGACTTCTGGGAAATTGAAGACTGGCTCATTTAACTCCATTTCTTTCCCCCTTTTTCCTGTCGTGGTGTCTGGAAGTAGGCGAGGTGGCTGGAGCACTGGTTGCCAACTTGGACCATGTGGTAACCTTGGAATGGAAGCCATAGGCTTGCTAGATGGAGCACAGGGTGGAAGGGGCCTGGAGGAGCTTAGTAACCCTGGGTCTCAGGTCCATGCCATGAGGGGATTTGATCGAATGAGCTCTGCCTGTGTCCTAGTGTAGCCTGGGGTAGACTAACTTTTCCTTAATTTTTTTGTTTTGAACCCACTTAATGTAGAATAAGTGATTTCTCATGTCTTGACTAAACTGTCACCTTCAAGAGTTGACCTTCAAATCCTGTCAGTTGGGGCAAATAAACACAGTATGGCTTATTACTTCCACCCTGCACAGGTAATCCAAGCCCAGGTGGAAATTGTTGGCAGAACAATGCCCTGTTAGTATAATAGAACACTTGTCCTAATTTCATATACTTGTAAAACTACTTTCTCTAAAGAATCCACACAAATGGGGAGCAAGCTGGGGCACTGGGTGTGTTCAGTCAGGAACTTCCAGTTCAGGAAGGACCCCAAATCTGCAGCTGGGGGCCTTGAGGAGAGGTCAGTCTCACAGAGGGTGCTCGGCTCTGATCCTTACTGGCTGCCCTGAGAAAACACGTTAGTCCCTGGGAAGCCGGGCAGAAGCATGTGTCCCTGCCAGGAGCACCAACTCCTCACAGGCAGGCAGGGGAGGGGAGGAGAGGGAGAGGTGGAGAGGCAGCAAAAACTCCCCAGAAGTTAGGGGGTAGCTAGGGGTAGCTAGGCTGATCCTGAGTTTGCCAGAAGAGGTGGGCTAGCTGAGGGCTGCTGCTCCCAGGTGACTTTTGTGAGAACGAGGAAAAGGCATGCTTTCTTCAACACGCCGTCTGTCAAACACCTCTCCTACAGTTAAGACAGCTTTACTGCTAGCCATTCGAAAGCGCTCCCAGTAAATACACAGGATGTGATGGCTGCAAGGCAAGGACTAACTCCTGACAGCTACAGGGTGGCTCAGGGGGCTTCGGCCATCACAGCTCACACCACGGACAAGCTTGCTGGGCCTAGGGCCTCTTGATGAGCTTTCAAACATGGTGACAGTGGTGAAGCACCTACTCTGCGCCAATCATGCAAAGGGTGTTTTCGCAATTGATGACGTGTTTGCTCCTCTTGACAATTTTAGGGGAAAAGATTTTTATCCCTGATTGACAAACGAAAGAACAGGTCTGAGAAGGAAGTTTCAGAGACTTGTCTTAGGTCACCAGGAGGAGCCTTCTACCCCTAGAGTGGGAACAAATGCCTGGCCCCCAAGTGCAGCTGCCGCTGCTCTCACCGAGCTGCTGCTTCACTGCCCTCCTGCTCCTTCATTGCCCGTGGCCTTCACCTGCTCACACTTGCCAAACACCAGTGGGATGTGGGCACCAAGCAAATAAATAGCTCAGGACAGACAGAACCCACGCCAGTGACACTCACCGACCTCAGCTCCCACTGACCGCAGGGCAGGAAACCACTCGACAGCTGTTTCACTCTCATTTTTTGGAAGAGTTTTTAGCATTTAAAAGTCATGACTTGCAAAACACAGGGGCTCTTCCTGCCTACTCGGAGCTGGAGCTGCATCTTAGCAACCACGAGTCCTCACCCCGCCTGGAACAAGGGCCCCCAACCACACACAGCTCATTACCTTTCTCCTCCGACTCCAAGATTTCCTGCAAAACCAGGAATGAAGTGGACTGTTTCGGGGGCTCATTTAACTCCTGCTTCTCCTGCAGCATTTTGTAAACTTCAGATTCTTTGTCAATGACGAGTCCACTTGTAGGTTGAGGATGTTCTAAACTGTAAAGAATATAGATTGATTAGGAATGTCAGAAGTTAGAAAAATTTACCAGACACCCCCTTCTAAGCCAAGACACCTCTGCATCAAAGAGTAAGTAGAAATTATCCCAATGGATAAAGCCCTCTCTTAACTCTGCCACAGACCTGCCAGTATTGTGAGGTGTCTGTACTGGCAGCTGCCTGCTGCTTCAATGCACTAATTTTCCAGTTTCAGTAATTCAATTACTTTTTTGGCTCATCCCATGGGGTAGGAGTGAAACCAGAGACCCCCACTTTTGAGCTATGGAGCTTGGCCCCAGAGCACTGCTCACAGGCAGTGCAAGTGGCAGTGGTGGTGGGCATTTTACCGCCCACCAGTGGCTCAGGCTACAGGCAGAGGCCAGCAGTGCTGGCGGGTGGCAGTGGTTCCTCTACCAGATAGCCCCAGAGCATGCAGCCCTGGTTCAGGGCGGGGCAGGGAGGAGCATGAGGCCCACTGGGCCAGCTCCAGTGCTGTGGGTCCCTTCAGCTGCAGGCAGTAGAGGGCCCCATGGGTTTGGTGCCTTCATTGCAGAATAGACAGGTCAGATGTGAGCTATGGGCTGACAGGTGAATGGTCTATCAGATTTGTAGGTGGAAGACCCGGAAGAAAAATAAGGCAGAGCAGGAGCCAGCTTGGGATGCCTGAGGTGCTCAGATACTCGGATTCTCTCACAGAAGGACTCTCCTGACCCCCACAGAAGGCGGCTCCAGCTGCTGACCTCTGAAGAAGAGCAGCCAAAGAGCTTTGCAGAGACAGAGCCCAACACACCTGCCTCTGACACTGCCTGAAAGAAGCACCCAAGGCCCTGGGCCTAGCATCTCAAAGAGCCATTTGTTGTTGATATGGACCAACAACTCACAAAAAGCGGTAATGCTAGTGACCAGCTGTGTCCAGGTCACCTCTGAGAGCTCTTAACCGTTCCTGATCATCCGGCACCATCCATCCCAGCTTCAGACGGCTGCTGTGGCGTCATCTGAGCAGACCTGCCTGTGAGCGCCCCCAGCTACAATGAGTTGGATCCTGGCCCTTGTTGACAGGACGGCACCATCTTGGACGAGCAGCCTTTTGGGCCTTCTAGGTGAGACAGCCGGCCACCTGTGGCCTTAGGAACTCTTTCCTGTTTGTAACATAAACCTCATTGTTATTCCCTGAGCCTGAGTGATCCTGCAATTGTGGGAGCAGGTGAAAACCCACAGACAGTGATCTGTCCTCTGTTGGACCTGCTATAGCACCCCCAATAGCTCTGTTTCAGGAATTCTTTCTTTTTAAATTACATCAATAATATTATGTCCAGAGAAAGTTTAGAGAGGGAGAGGGATCAACCACAACCTGAACACTAAGATCTAAGCTGGGTGCCCTCAGAACAGCCCGCATGTCTTCCTATCAGAGCAGAAATTACATTATTTACTCCTGATAGAACCAAAGTGCTTCCTACCTCTGGACACTGGTGTCCCCCACAGCAGGGAGTTCTGGTCTCAGCTACAACACACAGGTAATAAACAGCATCTGCTTTGCCTGGTTCACAGGGATGGCGGGCAAGATAAAAGGTGCGGCTACTTTGTAAACTGAGAAAGGGAGCAGAGTCCTCAGTTCAGGCCTAGGGACTGGGCAATCCAGGCCTTGACTTCCCACTTTTGTTCTGGGTTCCCCAGAATAGGAAAATATGGGGAGAGATTTGAGGGCTTTCCCCCATGGTCCATTTTCCAGGGACAAGTGGCTTTGCTGCCTCTCGAGGAAGGAAGAAGGTGAAGACAGGGAGAGCTTTTCCCATAAAGCCCATCCTGAAGCCCCTTCTCACCACCCACCTGCACTTTGTTTCCCAGCCATGCCATCACAGAGCCTGGTGCCGGCCTCCAGCGGCCCCCCCGGCGGCCTCCTTTACCTCAGGGCAATCTTTTCAGCCAGAGGCCAGGGTGATCTTTTAAACACAAGAATCACTGCGTCACGTGTCCTGACATGGATCAGGGTATTCTGATCTGATCTAACAAATACTTAAATATTTGTGTCTTCTGAAGTAAATATTCATGATAAAAAGTAGAAAGATTCCAACAAATATGCCTTTGCTTCTTTCTTTGAACACATCAACAATTGTTTCTTGCTTACTCCACTCTAGTCAGACTAGCCTGCATACTGTTTCTAGAACATTCCAGCCTTAGACTAGCCTTTGCACGTACTCTGCCTGTAACAACCCCTCCAACTCAGGCATCAGCACAGATGTCACTCCTCAGTGACTCCCTGACCCTTCTCTTAAAAGGCTCCACCCATCTGCCTCCCCACTTTACCAAAGGTTTTCAGTCTGATGTAGTCCCATTTATTTCTTGCTTTCATTTCCCTTGTGGCTGGGGTTAAATATTCAAAGATGTCTCTCTGGTTGATGCCCAGGAGTAGATTTCCTATATTTTCTCCAATATACTTTATGGGTTCAGGCTTTATATCCAAGTTGTTAATCCATTTCAAGTTAATTTTATATGGTGTTAATTAATTATCTTGTTTCTTTTCTTGCTTGCAGCTGTCCAGGCTTCCCAGGGCCATTTGTTGAAGAGGTTTCCTTCCTTCATTGTATGGTCTTTACTCATTCTTGAACACTAACTGTCCATATACATGGTGGTTTATTTCTGTACTCTCAATTCTATTCCATTGACCTGTGTGTCTGTTTTTGTTCCAATACCATACTGTTTTTTATTATTATCACTTTACAGTGTAATGTGAAGTCAGGAAATTAGTAGCATCAGAATAATAAAATACTTAGGAATAAACTTAACCAAGGAGGTGAAAGATCTATATACCCTGAAAACTACAAGACATGATAAAAGGAATTAAAGACATAAACAGACATCTGTTCATGGATTGAAAATTGTCCATATTACCCCAAAAAAATCTACAGATTCAATGTAATCCCAATGGCACTTTTTGTAGACATGGGGGGAAAAAGTCTAAAATTCAAAGGACCCTGTAAAGCCAAAGCAATCTTGAGAAAAAAAGAGTAAACTTGGAGACACTGCACTTCCTGATTTGAAAACATGTTACAAAGCTACAGTAATTAACAGTATGGTACTGGCATCAAGACAGATATATAGACGAATAGAGATCTCAGAAATAAACCCACACCTAAACAGTCAAGTGATCTTTGACAAAGGAGCCAAGAATAAACAATGGGGGAAAAGATAATCTCTTCAACAAATGGTACTGAGGAAGCTGAACTAAACAAACACGCACCATAATGAGACTGGGCTGTTATGCTATACATAAAAGTCAATTCAAAATAGATTAAAGATTTAAAGGCCTGAAACTATAAAACTCCTACAAGAACACATAGGGAAAAGCTTCACCACCTCAGATTTGGCAATGATCTTGAATATGACATTAAAGTGGAGGCAATAAAAGCAAAAATAAGCAAATAGGAACACACCAATCTTAAAAACTTTTGCACAGCAAATAAGCAATTGATGGAATGAAAGGCAATCTTTGGAATGGGAGAAGCTATTTGCAAACCATATATTTAGTAAGAGGTTAACATCTAGAATATGCAAAGAACTCAACTCAAGGGCAAAAAGCAACCCAGTTTTAAAAATGAGCAAGGAACTTGAACAGACCTTTCTCCAAAAATAATATACAGGGCCTCCTTGGCTGTGCAGGGGTTAAAGTCTCATACTATCAAGCTATCACTAGCCACTGTGGCATGAGTTTGATCCCTAGCCAGGGCACTAACCCATATGGCACAGCAGACCTCTTCTGTTTCACCTGCTGCTCCCCTCTGCTGTGTATTTCAGTAGATCCACCTGTTTTGCTCCCCACTCTGTCTCTGGTGAATCACTCCCTCAACCTCTGGCTTACACCCCTGTTCTTCTATGCATAAATAAATAAAACTAAAATCTTTTTAAAAATGATATACAAATAGATTATAACCACATGAAAAGATGCTCAGCATTACTGATCATCGGGGAAATGCTAATGAAGGTCACAATTAGATATCATCTCATACAAGATGATGACTATCAAAACAAGCAAACAGAAAACAATATGTTGCCCAGGGTGGAGAAATAGAACCCTCTGTGCTGCTGGTGGGAATGTAAAATGGTGCAATTGCTCTGGAAAACAGTGTGGTGGTTTCTTAAAAAAACTGAAAATAAAACTACCACATGACCAGTAATTCTACTTTGGGTACAGACTCAAAAGAATTGGAATGAGGATCTCAGAGAGAGATTTGCACACTCATTCACTGCGGCAGTAGTCACAACAGCCCAGGGGAAAGCAAGCTAAATGGCCAACAGATAAAGAAAACACAGTGCATACACATGCCACGGAATATCAATCAGCCTCGAAAAATCAAGGAAATCCTGTCATGTGCACATAAATAAGCCTTGGAGACATTACGCTAAGGAAAATAATCCAGCCAGTCACCAAAAGACAAATGTTGCATAATTCCACTTACATGAGGTATCTGAAGGAGTCACTCTCAGAAGCAGAAGGCAGAATGGTGGTCGCAAGGAGCTGGGGCAAGGAGCAACGAGGGACCTTTTTTTTTTTTTTTAAATACACTGCTGAGGGGAGCAGCGGGCGGCAGGAGAGGTCTGCGCGCCATGTGGGACCCTCGCTGGCAGCCGGGGATCGAACCGGCACTGCAGACGCTGCGGGCAGCTTCGCAGCCCAGCGCTCAACGGCTGCGCCACCAGGGGAGGCCCCGGGACTTTTTTTTAATAGGCAGGGCGTTTCAGTTTTGCAAGGTGAACAATTTCTAGAAATCTGAAGCACAACTATGTGCCTGTATTTACCACGACTGTATTCTATACTTAAAAATGGTTGAGCTGGAATATTTAATGCTCTGTGGTCTTTTCACCAGATGGAAAAAAAATAAATCCTTAGACCAGAAAAGCACAAGGAATTATTTGGTACATTTCAAAAAAAAAAAAACCAAAAAACAAAAAAACTGAACAAATCTCCAGTGAATTATACTGAGTAAAAAAAGCCAATTCCAAAAATATTACGTACTGTATGATTCCATTAATATAACATTCTTGAAATTACAAAATTCTAGAAATGGAGAGCAGATTGGTAGGTTGCCAGGGGTTAAGGGGGGGTGTGGGAATAGGAGGCAACCTGCAGAACCCCTGTGGTGATGGAAGCACCCTGTCTCTTGACTGCTTTGGCGGCAATGTCCTGATTTTGAGGCTGCTCTACAGTTTTCAGATGTTACCACTGAGAAGATCCAAGCCCCTGAGCCCTGCTTCCCAGGAACATCCCAGCAAGGGACGGCTTCACACCAAGCATGACCACAACTGTCCCTCTGCCATGGGCCATCTACCCTGGGAACTTATTGACGTGCTGAGAGAGCTCAGCAAGGCTGCATCCTTCATCTGGGCTTCAGGTGCCACTGGGGGTAGGCCAGGAAGGAACACAGGGATCTGCTGTTGCCAAGTTATTGAAGGAAGGAGGGACGAAGGAGCAACGTTACTGGCTGTGGTGAGGGCAGGAGGCTATAACGTCATGTGAAGTACAACTATATCAAGATAGAAAGGGCAATTGATTTTAAGAAATCTTCTCCCCAAATGATGGAAGTTAAGCCATAGCAGGAAAATGATCTGAGGAGATTTCAGTCCCTGGTTTTATATAGGCAGGGCTAAGGGAGGTGGGTTGACCCCCAAGAACTCTGTATGTCCAAGACACCGCAACCTGTTCACTGCAGTGTTCACATACACACTAAATGCAATTCTAGGAAGACTCAGGTGACTGTCTTAGACTTAGGTGCCTGGCCAGAGCATGTCTTAAGTGTTGGTCTTCAAAGGGCTCGAAGTTGGAACTGTAACAAGAAACCTGGGAGATTTCAGGAAGGAGGGAGGGACACCCAGGCTCCAGAACTGTTCCCTGCAGACTGCAGGCTGGTTTGGCTGGAAGGTCAAGCAGCCACCTTCAGGATAGAGGTTTTCTTCTGGTCCAGCTGCATATGAATCAGGGTTAATAGAATCCCTCTTACATCATCTGACTAGAGAACAATGGACCTTTTTACTGCACTGCACCTGCTGAGAAATGTGTCAGAATACATGGGGTGGGGGAGGGCACCATTTTGAAGAGGCGGCATCTTGGGACAATGTTGGGGAGAGGAATTCAACTGACTGTCCCATGAAGAGGTCACTTCTCCATCAGGAAGGTGACTAACTGGCCAGCTGTTCAAAGCGGTAGCTGGGGAGACAGAAGATTACTGCAAGTCATCGCAGAATCTTCCCATGACATTTGTCTACATGTTTCCATCCTTCCGGAGCCCCCAGTACTGGGCAGAGTTGGGTACAGAGTGCCTCGCAGACAGTGAAATCAGAAACAACCGGCATTTACTGAGCACCTACCAGGGCCCAGGCACCATGCTGAGGCTTTATGCATCCCACCCCTTTCTCTCACCCTGGGGTGAGCCAGCCATCCAGGATTATCTGCACTCTGGAGATGAGGAGACTGAGTTTCGGAAGAGTTACACGGTGTGCCCAGCGTCACACAGTTGCATTCAAGCTCAGACCCCTCTACCTATGAAGCAGGCACCCTTAGGAATGTGCCAAGCAGCATCCCATAGGTAATGAAATCCAAGCACTGACTTAACAGAAAATGACCGGAACTCAGAAGCTCAGTGGAAGTTGTCAGAGGGCAGGTGAAAGCTTTTTGTTGAATAGAGCATCGTTTGAGGTGATGTAAGCTGAGCTGGCCCAGAGGCCCCCCACTAGGCTGTGTGTGTGCTGAGAGCCAGTCAGCAGATGGTACTCTCTCGCCTGACTCCCCAGTTTAATTTAAAAGGGGCAGTGCCGCTGTCTGTGTCCTTGTCTGATGGGGACACAGCTCTGGGAAATCCTACAAGACAGGCAGCCCACACAGACCAGGCTGCTTTGAAGTGCATGGGACAAAGAAACTCAGAGTGAGCCCCAGGGAATCGGTGATGACCTCAGATGCAAAGTATGAAGTGAGCCAATTCTGGAACCTCAGCAAATTTCACAGACTAAACAGTGGGAGTGAGAGAGCACTTGGGACTTGTGCTGACTGGGCAGGCAAGGTGCCCTGGGGCTGCCGGGCTCACAGGAGTATCTTCCCTTGCTGAGCATGCACAGGGGGTCTCTCTAGGAACAGACCAGTAAGCAGAGCCATCACAGGCAGAACAGCCTGTCGGGCACTTTCTCTGCACAGAATGTGGGTATTCCATGGGCCATTTACAGTAGCATCAAAATAATAAAATACTTAGGAATAAACTTAACCAAGGAGATGAAACACTTGCATACTGAAAACTACAAGACGTGGGTGAAAGGAATCAAAGAAGAACTAAATGAAAGACACTATGTCCGTGGGTTGGAAGATTTAATATTGTTAAAATGTCAGTACTACTCAAGCGATGTGCAGATTTAATGCAGCCCCTAAAAAAATCCCAATGACATTTTTTTCAGAAATAGAAAAAAAAATTCCTATGGAATCTCCACTGATTGTGGATTCATCTTCATCCTCAAAGAGTTTGGGAGGGAACAGAAGCAAGGGTCCCTCTGGTGAGAAAATCTGGAAGGGGATTTTTGATAAAGACGCAGAAGCCACTGAAGCGAAAAAAAAAATCTATGACAGGCGGGAACAGGGCCTACAAGAAAGGCTTGCACAGCAACCAGACATTTTCAGATTTAATTGTTTCAGACTGAGGGGAGGGAACAGGCTGGGAGCGTAAGAGAAGAAAGAAGACATTAATGAAGGAATAACAGCCAAGGCCATACTAAAAATACTTCCCAGGCACATATTTCTCCCAATGCATAGCAGCTCTTTCAATTAAGGATGTGTCATTTCCTGGGTTATTAAATCCAGATCACGGAACATTCCACTCTGGGACAGTAAAAGAGGGTCACGTTCACAGCCTCCCCTGACACCAAAGCGGCAAAAAACACAGACCACAGTCCTTGGTGTTGCTACCACACGGATCCTCACTGCGCCATCTGAGAGAAAGCTCTTCCCAGGAGAACTGAGGAGGCCCCTCATGGCAGCCTCAGGTACACCAAGTGCCCCCACAGTCACCTCAAAATGCATCATCCTCCCAACATAGCAAGACCTTGCTGGAACCAGAATTTGGGGGCAGAAGAAGCATTAGTAGCCTCTTTGCCTTAATTAACACAATCAATGCCAGAGACCCTTACCTCTTTGCAAGCCAAATTCACATAGCAAAAAGTCTCCCCTACTGACTGAGAAACTTTAAAGGAAATTAGGGTCGTCTCAGTGCTGGAACTCCAATGCAGTGGGGGCCCAACAGTATCCTGACGAAAGAGAACTAAATACAGGGGCCAGTCAAGGAGCCCTGGAGAGGGGCCCCGTGATGGCCCTTTGCACACATTTAGTGGTTTGGAGTCTCTGGAGTTTTAAGCAATCCTAACCTGCATTTGAAAATTAGTTTACAATTAAACCACCTTGGGAGCTGGGCAGATTCTTGTTAGAAATGAAATGGGGAACAACTGCACAGCAAAATGGGCTTCAGAGTTACTATAAGAACAGAGGATTCCAAGCAGGAGTGATTATTAGTGATCATCCAAGTTTGGACCACATAGTATTTTCCAACACATTTGAAAGTCACCAACATTTTGAAATCCGATTTCAAATAAAAGCTTTCTGATTTCCCTCTGAATGAAATTTATCAGCAAAAAGGCCTGTTTGTCTTATGACCAGAGCCAAAGAGCAGCCCCCTCTGGACATACCAGCTGTCATGCCCCTCTGCTCCCCTCTGCTGCATGCACAGCTCAGCCTTTGGGCCCTAATCCTCCCTGCCACCCTTGGGGCACTTGAAGTGGCAACATGTGATCCTGCCCATTCCCTTTCTACCCATGGAGTACTGGCCCCACCTCTGACTCTCCACCCTCAGTCTAGTTCTATGGCTCAGGCTGAGATATTCTCAGTCTCTGAATTCATCTTTGAGGAGTTTGGGATGGGACAGACACTGGGGTTCCTCTGCAGGAAAGCTCTGGAAGATATTTTGGATAAAAACTTAGAGGTAGCTGTAGTCAAATGACCTGTAACCGAAGGGGACAGCCCTCCCCTCTCTTGAGCAAGATATACCCCCTTAAGCCCCTGCACCCCATGCACCTGCAGCACCTCCCCTCCCCCAGGCAAGCCTGATTCTGCCACCAGATATAAACACACATTCAAGCCTCAAGGTCTGTTCTCTAATTTTGCCACTGGACCACTTTGGGGGGCAAAGCAAATACTATTTCACCAGATCAGATGGTGATCTGGTGAAATTATAAATATAGAAAAGCTTCTCAGGGCTCGAAGGAAAGGCACAGGGTCTCTTACAAGATGATGACCACAGAAACCAGGACAGTGCATGGGTCCCCAGGAATGACCCATGAATTAGTGCCAGACATATGACTTCTTTTTACAACAGCCCAAAAAGACAGGTGGTAGTACCCCCTTTTTAGAAATGAGTAACTGAATGGAGAAAGTATGTGTCATTGGAGACATTTTTCTCCCTGGGCTGGTGGCTGAACCTTGTACCACCTGCCTGGACTGGCCCAGGCTGGCTGAAGAGCCTCTTCCGGGGCGGACCTGGAAGAGTGCAGAAGGCTGACTTACACTCTGCCGTTGGCCTCCTCCCCGCTAGCTGCAGTCTTTGACTCCAAGGCGTTGTTGAAGTTGGAGATGTTTTCTGAGGAGTAGAGGCCAGCTGGGTTGTTGTACTGGTGTGTGATGACCCTGGGAGCAGAGCTGGAGGCCGAAGAGGCAGAGAAGGGCATGGCACTCCGGTTGTGGGCGCTTCCTATGTGCAGGACCTCCTGTAGGGAAGGTCAGAGGAGTGATCAGGGGGTGTCCCACGCACACTCGGATGGATGGAGCAGGCTGAGCGGCAGGAGGGAGCCCCACCTGAGCTGCAGTGGCAGTGGCCCAGCACCAGGCCTTACCTGTGGGGCTCTGACAGACAACCTGACACGGGGCAGTGGGCAGGGAAGAGTTGGAGATGGACACATGTGTGGGTTCTGATCCTCCCCGGAGGCCCAGGAAAGCCCAATGGCCATGCTGATGGATACCCCTGATCAGGACACCCCTAGAGGCCCTGGGCTGTCAGAATGCAAGTCAGAGCTGAAACACCCTTTTTCAGGAAACCTTTCTGAGGAATGAAGGTACTGGGGAGAGAACAGGCAATCACTTCGGTGTGTGCGAAGCAGAGACCCAGAAGGAAGCAGGCTAAACAAGTCAGATAAGAGGGCTGAGGTGTCCTTGGTCAAGCAGCTGCTGACTAGGCAGAGAGCTCAGGGCCGGGTGCTGGGGCTGAGGGAATTCAGAATCTGTTGTTTCTTGGGGAGAAAGACTAGGCTGATGCAACGGAAGAGAGGACCCAGGGGAGCTGCTGAAAGAACTGTGAGTTCCTCCAGGTTCATTCCCCTTCTCCTGGAATTTAAGAAGGTGCCCTCACCCCCGCCCCAGACCCCAGAATCATGGCTGATCTTCATGCTTCTTTACAAACACTCAAAGCAACTAACTCTTCTTTTTTCTTTTTTCTTTTTTGATAATCATGGCTTTTCTGATGCTTAGTTAGCAAGGTGCTTTCCACAGGGAAAAGTCCAGGGGTGCTATGGACCAACCAAGGGCCCCAGGGCCCTGCATGCTCTATGCAGCCCACCAGCCTCAAGGTGTACCCTATTTCCTGGGTTCTCCAGAAGGCTTTCTGAATCCTCTTTTCTTTCATCACACCCAGACTCAGAATAACCATCCCCAAAAGAAATCCTGTCTTTCACTACTTTTCCTATTTTTTTCACTAAACCTTCAAATCTTGGGCCTTCCTGGTGGTGCAAGGGGTTAAGCACCACACTATGAAGCAATCCACAGCCTCTGCAGCACAAGTTCGAGCCCCAGCTGGCCAAGGAGCAACCCACATGGCGCAGTAGACCTCTCCTATCTCGCCCGCTGCTCCCCTCAGCAGTGTATTTCAGTCAGTCTGCCTGTTCTGTTCCCCACTCTGCCTCTGGTGGAGCCTCTCACCCCCTGCATCTCTGGCCTGTACCCCAGCTCTTGTATGCATAAATAAATAAATTTTTAAAAAAATAAGCCTTCAAATCTTTTACTTTCTTAGGAAACATGATGATGAAAAATAAGAGCTTAATTCACTGTGTACTGATTTAAAATAAAAGATAACATGAAAATAATTTTATGACTGAGATTACTTTTTCACTCTTTAGATAGGCTTCCTCTTCAAAAAGTTGGAAGAGTGAGATATTAATGTAAAAATTATGCTGAGCTGACTTTGTCCACATTGGGGAAAAAGGTAAACACACAGGTAATTTGCTAAAGGGGAAGTATGGTGAGCTAAGAAAGTAACTTCAGCAGGAACCACAGACACGGTTAAATAAATTTTATGGCACAACTACTCCGAGAAATGATGTGGAGTCGCTAATGGCAGCAGGCCTGCAGATGGTGCCTGCCCACTGTGGGAACACCCCAGCTGCAGAGTCCCCCCCCACCTCCACAACACGTCTTGGGAGAGCACAGAATCCTGAGCATTAGGCAAGAGCCCTTATTCTCTGATCTTGGCTTAACTTTTCCCTATCACTTCCTGTTCAGCTTTGGGAGTGAGTTATACCTCTCTGAGCCATTTTCTCATCTTTAGCAGGATGTAAAGAAAGCCCTCTTTCACAAGCACTTGGAATGAAAGATGAGTGTGCCAAGTACAGTGCCTGGCACACTGTAGACATTCCACCAGCCTGCGTTCCCTTCTCCACAGAAACACCTTTCCCATCAGAATGGAAGTCAGTAGGACATTCTGATTTTCAATTTATAGAGAACCTTCCAAGAATATATCTGTTTTGTACATAAAAGGAATATCTCTAATCCCATGTGAAAACTGGTCTTTCCAGAAGTCAGGCGGTTAATTCAGGGCCTGCCTGTTGGAAGGGATGATGTAATTGTTTGGGCTTTGTATTTATCAGTCTCCAAGGAAACTCAATAATGAGGAAATATAAACTAGGTGTGTAACTACACTGACCTCAGATAAGCTGGGGTGTTGGTTGGCATGACATGAACTAACAGATCTTTTAATTATAAATGAACTCTGCTCCTACTCATTCCTTTATTTTAGAATGACTGGAAGTGAAAGATTTAGGAAAAATGAGAGGTGGGGAAATTTTTCATATGAACAAAGAATTACTGGCATCAACAGAAAAACTACTCAAGTTAGATGTGAAAGTATGAGAGAAAGCTTTCAATCTGAAGAGAACTACCTTCAGAATATTAAGACAGGTTATGTGTTTATGATGAAAATTCAAGTATAATACATAAGTGCTAACTAGGATTTTAGATCAAAATGAAACAAAAATCACTCTTTACGATAACACATGAGAATTTACATTAAAACTTAATCGTCAAAAATTTAATAAAGTGGCTAACAGCTCCCTGGGAAATTAGAATTAAGGGTGGCATATTTTAAATTACAACTACCTGTTTGTAGCCTGAACGTTATTTTATGAGCTTTTCTTAGAGGAACTACTTAGAATAAGATGTCTGTCATTTTGAAACAGCCGATACAAATGACTCTTAGGATCTTAAAGTATGAATTTTATCACATTAATTGAAAAAAAAGTGATTGTATTTCTGACATCTCAATGGAAGCCTTTTGAGAAAATATGAGTGATATGTAAACCACCTGATTTACCCACATCAATTTATCCAAAGGAGTTCAATCTTTTATAAGATTCTGTTATATATATAGAAGATAGCTAAAGTTCTCTTTTAATTATATCTCAATTCACCATAAAAACTAAGAAGTGTCCCCAAATTCAGAAAAAAAATTACAGCTCAAATCTTCAATTGGGGCTAAACGTGTAATAATCATAAACCAACCCTATAAGAAGACTTTAATGCCATTATCAGTTTACTTATTAACTTTTCACTAATAATTTATTAATTTTTCCAATACATGTATCTCTTGAAAAGCAGCATATTAGATATCAGTAATTTTATAAGTGTTCTAACGATGCTTCCTTAAACTTTCCTCCTCTTTCAAAAGACTACCGTTCACTATAGATTATTCAGAAGATGCAATTAAGAACAAGAGAAAACAATCTATTCAGACATTTATTTACAAATATGGGATTTTAGTACAGGAAATTCTATTTGGCCAACAAATTAGGCATTGACGCCCTGCCACATCTTTCAATATGAATCACCACTGTATTTTAGTAATATTAAGTTCTCATTAGAAGTCTCACTATGGCAAAACTAGAGATTTCCACCTGAAAGCTCATGGAAAACAGACACCAGGAAGAGAAGCAGAGGTTACAATTAAATTGCCCCTGAGTTCCGCTAGCCTCTACGCCTCGGGACCCACACTGATTTTCATTCCTGTCTGGATCTGAAATCGTGATGAGCTGCGTCAGCTCCTTATGTGACAGGGTCCAGCCACTCTAAGTGGACAGGAAGTTTTCCGCCCTCTTCCTGTAGCACCTCCTGCCCCCAGCTTCCAGCCCAGGACACAGTGTCACAGCCACGGGGTTTTCCAGCCTTTCCTCCCGCAATTCCCTTACGGGAAGAATAGAACAAGAGCCAGGTTCCAAGTGTCCGGGGAGGGCTCTCCTGGGCTTCCAGGGCAGGAAAAACCACGAACATGCTGAGCTATGTCAATGCAGAAATGGGATTGGGGGACAAGAGGAGTGCAATGGGGAGCAAGTACTCACTTGGGGTTCAGAGGCTAAATTCATCTTGTATGGATGACGTTTCCCTTCTTCGGTCACCAAAGGAGACCAGACTTTAAGTTCGGATCTGCAATAGATTGACAAAGCTGTTGTTTCGTTCATGCCAGAAAAGGAATATATACCAAAAACAGAGTAGGGTAACACGCCCTCTTCTCTGACCAGTAGCCTCTGCGCTAGCACTCAGCCACTGCCTTCCCCTCCATTTTGCCACCAGCATGATTTTTGAAAACATCAATCTGATCAGGTCCAGCTGGCTGCCCAGGCTCAGCCCAAAGGGTTGCCCAGGCTGCTGGGACATCCAGCTTCACCCTCCTTCCTGTGTCCTGACACCCAGCCACACTGCCCACTGGGCTGGGCTTGCTCAGAATGGAACAAGCTTCTCCTCTCTCCCCTCAGTGCTCTTGATACAGAGCAGATAACCACTGATTCCTAGAGCCTGTCTGTTCCATAGCAAAGTGATGCTTCCCTTTTGAAATGTGCAAAGGATTTCCTGCACTACTCATCCAGCAAAATCTAGTCTCACTTTTTGTTCTTATGCATAGAGAGTATTTGTACTTATCTGTATGTTAAGAGATCACCTGGCACTGTGCTAGATACACAGAAATGTACCTGCTTGATCTGTAAATGAATGATGAATGAATGAATGAATGAAGTCAAGCCCTGTTCTTGACTAGGGCTTATGGGAGAGGATTTGGACTGAGACAAAAATAGGAGCCAACAATGAGGGGTAAATGTGTTTTTTGACAATAAGCACAATAAGTGTCAATAAGTAACAGTAAGATTGTGTACTTCCTCTGAAGGTCTGAAATGTACAAAATATTTTGATAATCCTGCCCCTTTGTTGGCCCTCCCTCCAGTCCTGTGGCAGAAGGTAGAAGAGAGAGCTATTTCACAATGAGGACCTGGGTAAAGCTTCATGATGAAGAATTGTGAAAGCTAAGATGATTGAGACATTCAAGGGCAGGTTCATGAAGATCAGAATGAAAAATGTGAACTTGATCCAACAGGAAATAGGGAGCCATAAAGGTTGAATCAGATGGCTCCTGAATCACGCCCCTGCAGAACCCCTTCCAGGACTAAATGAAAGAAGAACAGGAATTCTATCCCATTACAACTCCCCACTCGCTTTCCTCACTCAGCAACCTGTTGAGAACATTCAACTCAGTCCTCCTATATTCCAGGACACTTAAAGCTGCACTCAGTGTAGTCTAACGTGAAGTCTTTCTTTGTGATAGGACTTGTCTGGCAGAGCACCCTCTGCTCAGCCTTGTATAACAGGAGCAGCACCCTAAGGAGATTCTCTGTGGTTTCCAGGAAGAATTTTTAATTTCCTTTCACCTGACAGCAGGTAAGTGATTTTACTTCCCAGAAATGTTGGTCAGTTATTTTGCATCAAGCAAAAGTGCCATTTATCTTAGAGAAAGATGTCTGTGCTATGAAGAGCTCTGTGAAAATGAGGAAAATTTCCCAATTCCACAGATGTCTGGCCTGCCTACAGGACCCAGGGAACCTGGCAAGGGGCTGGGATTCTGAGATCAATGAGGCAGCCCCTGCCCACAAGTGGCTTCCTGGGGATCAGAAATGAATGAGCAGGGACCTCCCTGGTGGTGCAGGGTTAAAGTTTCAGTGCTGTCAAGATATCACCAGCCACTGCAGTATAAGTTCGATCCCCAGCCAGGGAGCTGACAAACATGGCGCAGCAGACCTCTCCTGCCTCTCCTGCTGCTCCACTCAGCAGTATATTTCAGTACATCCACCTGTTCTGCTCCCCACTCTGTCTTTGGTGAATCCTCTGGCTCCCCACATCTCTGGCCTACACCCTAGTTCTTGTATGCATAAATAAATAAATCTTTTTTTAAAAAAAAGAAATGAATGAGCATTGCCACAGGTGTTACCTGGTTACTGTGAGAGTCATGTTGTCTCCACAACCCTTAATTTTGTTCTGAGCTTCCAAGTGAGTCATACTGCTGGCATTTTCCCCATCGATAGCTGTGATTATATCTCCAATACATAAATTAGCTATCGCAGCCTTGCTTCCAGGAGTGACCTGGAGAAAGGAGAGAGCAAACTAGTTATTATTTGTCTTCAAGGAAACCAAGTTATCCAGGGTGAAGTATTTCTTTTTTTTTTTAAGATTTATTTATTTATTTATACAAGCACTGGGTACATCAGAAGCGCGGGAGGGTGAGAGAATTCACCAGAGCCAGAGCGGGGAGCAGAGCAGGCAGAAGGACCAAAGTACACTGCTGAGGGGAACAGCGGGTGGCAGGAGAGGTCTGCGCGCCATGTGGGACCCTCCTCTGGTGGCCGGGGAGCAGCCGGGGATCGAACCGGCGCTGCAGAGGCCGCAGGCAGCTTCGCAACCCAGCGCTCAACCGCTGCGCCACCAGAGAGTCCCAGGGTGAAGTGTTTCTGATGAACAAAGCATTTAAAAAGATATGAGGGGGCTGAAGTCATTCATTTCCATAACTATCATTTATATTTGCATAATATGTAGGGTTTACACAGTCCTTTTCTATGTAACATCTTGTTGCATACTTCCAACAACCTATGAGAAAGGAGGACAAGTATCAGTTCCATTTTAGAGACCAGGAATCTGAGGCTTACAGAGATCTGTGACTTTCCAGGACCACCCAGCTGGTCTATTACTAGATGTTACTAGTCATGCAATTATGTGTTACTATACATTCTAGAGCCAGGACTGGACCCCTGAACCAGACCTCCTACTAACCCTCTTGATTCCCTAAAATAACTCAGCAGTTACATTTTTAAAAACACACTTAGAAAACATTCTGTACAGTAACATCCTAGTTCTATAAAAATCTTAACATGTATTTTTCATGCACAGAAAAAAATTGCAAGGCACACCAAACTGTTCACAGTTACATGTTTCTGTAATGTTTTTGTTTTTTTGAAGGAACTTGAACTCCTTTTGTAATTGAAAAAAGCAATTAACAATATTTTAAATATGATAGTTGGGCCACCCCGGTGGCGCAGCGGTTGAGCGCTGGGTTGCGAAGTTGCCCGCAGCCTCTGCAGCGCCAGTTCAATCCCCGGCCGCCGGCGAGGGTCCCACATGGCGCGCAGACCTCTCCTGCCACGCCCGCTGCTCCCCTCAGCAGTGTATTTCATCAGTCTGCCTGTTCTGTTCCCCGCTCTGGCTCTGGTGAATCCTCTCACCCTCCCACGCTTCTGACTGTACCCAGTGCTTGCATAAATAAATAAATCTTAAAAAAATAATAAAATAAAATATGATAGTTGGGGTTTATGTTGGTTCATTTCCTGCCACCAGAGAAGTTGACTATGACCAGGGACCCCCAGCAGGCAGCTGGCTTTCCCCAGACTGATGTTTCTAAACCAGTAGCTCCCACTGATGGGAGCAATGCTTGGGCACTGTAGTCCCCGGGTAGCCCGTTCCTCTGCTCACGGAACATGACATGTGGACTAAATGAATCTCCAGCCTCACACACGGATGCACAGCTGTTTTTCAAGTGACTACAGATGCTCCAAGATAGACAAAGTACTGACTCCTTTTGTAACAGTCCTAACCTCAAGGTAGCTTTTTACCATCAGGTATTTCTTAAACCAAGATCTACCAACGATATTATTATCATCCTGGTCAGTCCACGACTTTGACATTAAAAGACCTCCCTTGATAGGAACTGCAGGTCGCCCAGGAGCAGAATGGTGAGTCAGATTTGTCAAGTTATAGGAATAGCGTGTAGAGTGTCCTGGCAGACTCTCAGCACCGAAGGGTCTGGCCTCTCCTTGGAGAAGGCCCTTGACTCCTGAGAGACCGCAAAGGAAGAGCTCCCGAAAACACGAGTGCCTCCATAAGCTGAAGCATGGGTAAAGGGGCTCTTCAAGGCACCAAGCAGTGCTCAAGAGTGTGCCCCACATCTCTGCCTCTGGTGGAGACACAGCCTCCAACTGACCCTCGCCAAAATGAAATGAAAGCACACAGACCCTCCTGCCATAGCTGGAGTGATGCGTCCGTCCCTGTCCATCCCCCCATCAGGACCCTGTGAGATAAGGGGTGGATGACTCAATCCTTGCGGTCCCTTTGGGCTCAAACATGCTCTGACTTTATCACACACAACTCTCCTGGAATGTAGCAGGATGTGGAAACTAGTGCAGAGATCCTGACCCTCTAACCTTCCTTTCTGGCTTTCCCATCATCTGTTTACCAGAGATCTGGCTTTTAGAAAAGGAAAGCCCTTGGGCCAAGGACCCGACCTTCTTGTCCAGTCACTGGGAAAAGGCATATTTCTATGGCGAAGCGTAGGCTGCTCCCCTTTCAGACACTGGGGAGTTAGCCTCTGAGTCACCTAGTATCTGCAATCAAACCCAATTCCTCTCACTTTCTGCCCATCTCTCTGAGAACACTGATCTGGTATGCCAGTATGCCTACTTCACTTTTTCTAAAGAATACAATCCTCTGTTTCAACAGGGGCCCTGAGGACCATTTTTTTCAGAACTGGCAATGGTTGTGGGTTGGCAAACCCTATCTCTAGGGAGAGCAGCCTGATTGAACTCATTTATCATGACCAAACCTAACAGCGTTAAAGGATCAAATCCAGGGCTTCCCTGATGGTGCAAGGGTTTAAGCACCACACTGTGAAGCAGTTCGCAACCTCTGCAGCACGAGGTCGGTCCCTGGCTGGCCAGGGACAGCCCATATGGTGCAGCAGACCTCTCTTGCCTCGCCCGCTGCTCCCCTCAGCAGTGTATTTCAGTCAGTCTGCCTGTTCTGTTCCCCACTCTGTCTCTGGTGAATCCTCTCACCTCCTGTATCTCTGACCTATACCCCAGCTCTTGTATGCATAAATAAATAAATCTTTAAAAAAAAAAAGGATCAAATCCAAATCAGCAATAAAGTTTCTAAGGACCATACCCCTATCTCTGCCCTCATTATGCGACTCACTGCACTGACCTCAGGACTTTCACACCTGCTGGAACCTCTGCCTGAGAAACTTCCCAGCCTTCAGGTGTCCGCTAAATGACCTTTCTCAGAAAAGGCTTCCCTATTTCCAACCCAAGTCAGATCCCCTGTCATTCTTTCAACACACTCTGTTCTTCACAGCAGCTGTCATCTTAGGGGTGTAGCTCTGTTTTGTGGGTTTATTTAATGCCCAAGGGTCATCTAATTGGCAAGGCATATAAGGGTAGGATTTTGTCTGCCTTTTGCGCATTGTCCCTAGCGCCTACCACAGTGACTGGCATATAGTAGGTGCTCAACAAATGTGTCCAATGAATGACTGCATCTAGAATACTTAGTGATGCTGAACGTGATCATGTGGCTTTTTTTTAATCCTGTAAAAACTGACAATTATAAAAGGAATCAAACAAGCATTTCCCTCAACATGATTACTCTGGAATGTGACCACTCATAAAACTAAAATGATGACATGGAGAGCAGGGTGGAAAGTTTAAAAAGATGAAAATAGCAGTTATCTTCCTAATTTCATGTACTCAGCTGCTAAGAACTCAGGAATTTCTAGCATTTGGTTCAAACAGCCTTGTGGGAGAGGCATTTCTGCTCAGCATATCCCGACAGGTCCCAGACAAGCTAGAACCAGTCTTAAGAGCTCAGAGCCTGAGTAATGGAGGCCTGGCATCCTATCTTTCAGTCTGATTGTTTTTAAGGTAAACAACTGGGAAGCCAAAGGAAATCTCAGAAAGTTACAAGACAACATCATCTGAGGGAGCTCAGACCGAAGCACACAAACAGATTATGTTCATGTTCTTTTAGGAACTATCACCTTCTGGGGAAAAAAAGGATTCAAATAAATGATCAGATTTGCCTTTTACAAAGTCCATTCACATACACTCTATGTGAGAGAACAGTGATGATAATCCCCACCACATATACGACAATTTTGTAGATGAGGAAAATGAGACTTAGAGCTGTAGCTGATTCAAGTTCACACAGCTACAGGTTTAAGCCTAAATTTGAAACCAGGTCTCCTCATTCCAAATTCCAAATTCCAAACCCTCTTGGCTTTACCACGATGCAACAAGCAGAGATTTCAAAGCCAACTGTCAGAGCCAAAGAGAAATCCAGCACTATTTAAAATAGGTAAAACCTGGAAACAACCCAAAGGCCCCAAAAATGGATGACTAGATCAAGAAGATGTGGCATATATACACAATGGAATATTATTCAGCAATCAAAAAAGATAAACTCATGCCATTTGTAGCAACGTGGATGGAGCTAGAAGGAATTATGCTCAGCGAAATAAGCCAGAAGGAAAAAGAAAAATATCGGATGGTTTCACTTATAGCAGGAATATAGGGGAACCAAATAAGACATCGTGTAAAAAAAATAATAACAGTACAAAACACAACAAAGCAAAACCAGATAATTATAAATTAGAGACGTCCTGCAGGGGAGGAGGAGGGAGAAGGATCAGAGGGAGGGAGGGAGGAGCACAGGGGACGGAGGTGATGGTGCACAGGTGCACTGGTGAAGGAAACTATGGGGACTACCAGCTGAGGGGATGGGGGGAAACAAATATTATTTAAAAATGAACAATGACTACTGGGCCTCCCTGGTGGTGCAGGCGGTTGAGTGCCGCACTGTGAAGCTGTCCGCGGCCTCTGCAGTGCGGGTTCGATCCCGGCGACCAGTGAGAATCCCACATGGCACGGCAGATCGCGCCTGTCTCGCCCACTGCTCCCCTCGGCAGTGTGTTTTGGCAGTCTGCCTGTTCTGTTCCCTGCTCTAGCTCTGGTGAATCCTCTCACCCTCCTGCGCATCTGGCCTGTACCCCAGCACTTGTATAAATAAATCTTTAAAAAATAAAAATAAAAATGGACAATAATGTAAAAAATTTTTTAAAAATGAAAAAAAGAGAAGTCCAGAATTAAGGCGGCTCATCGCTGTGGCCTTCTACACAAGACTTGTGATTCTAACATTGGTTAGCTCACACTTTAAATGGTGGACTCCAACCCTCGCGCCACACTAACTGTTCATCAGAAGTGTGATCATGACCACAGCCATCAGTTAGTGGGTGCTTTTAGGTGCCAAACACAGTTTAAGTATTT